CTGTCTCTGCACCCTCATGTCCGTCGCTTCATCAAGGGCGCTTCTAACCTCTGCCCTCCGGTCATCCATCGCTTCCCTTCATGGGATCTTGGCAAAGTCCTTGACTACCTCACAGAACCACCTTTAGATCGGCCTCTCTGCAACACCTTACACTGAAAATGATCTTCCTGGTTGCTTTCACATCGGCGTGGCAGGTTTCAGAGCTGGCAGCCCTCGCTGTCAGGTCTGATCTGTGTGTCTTTCATCCAGACTGTGTAGTCCTTCGCCTCGATCCTACTTTCATCCCTAAGGTAAATTCGGTTTTCCAATTTCTCAAGACCTGATTCTTCCAAATTTCTGCCCCAATCCTACTCATCGACTTGAACGCAAATGGCGCACGCTGGATGGGCGTCATGACCTCAAGGTCTATATTGCCAGGACAGCTGACTTCAGATGCACTGAAGCTCCTTTCAACTCTTTCCATCCCATCAAGAAGGGAGTCAAAGCTTTTCTGTCCATGGTAGGGCTCTGGATCAGATCTGCCATCTCAAGGGCCTATCTTGCTAATCATCTCACTCTCCTGACCAACATCACAGCTCATTCGACGTATAGTGCGGCTACCTCAGTGGCTTGGACTACACATACCTCGGTAGAGGAAATTTGCAGGGCGTCTGCTTGGACTACTCTGACCCCCTTAATCCGTCACTACCGGGTGGATAGATAATGGGTCAGCAGATGCAGCCTTCGGAAGGAGGGTGCTCTAGCAAGTTCTTCCTTCTTCGGTCTCCTAGGCCAGTCTCATGCCTTCCCGGGGACCATCCTAGCTTTGGTACATCCCATGCATGACTGCTGTCTCCACAAACTTTGGAGAATGTGTTTTGGTTCTTATCTGATATGCTTCTTCTCTGGGCAGATGGAGACAGCAGTCACCCCCACCCTCTTTTTTCTGTGTGGGCCTAGTTTGCAGAAGGGCAGTATGGTGATAACCTGAAGAGGTGAATATTGAGAGCAACCTGTTACTGCATAGCAGTCTACTTATCTTCTTTGTCAAAGAAGCGGGAGGACTATCCTCAGAGGCTATGACGTCAAATCAGTAGACTCAGTCTATTGGTTACTGGCTGAGGTAACCCATGCATGACTGCTGTCTCCATTTGCCCAGAGAAGGGGCGTATCAAGTAAGAACAAACGCCCCAGTCTATGCCGAAGCAATGCCACCGGATGATAAGCAATAAGGGCTGGCCAATTTCATATTAGTAACCATGTTTGGTTATCTAAATGGTCCTTTTCAGGGNCCCCCCCCCCCTGTGTTTCCAGAAATAAGGCCACTGAAAATTCATTTTCATTGTCTATCTGTTAGTTTACATGTAATGATTCAAATGAAAGTGTGCATCAAAAATATTCACCTTTGTCTTAAAATCAAGTTAATGTTTCATCTCAGACATTTTAGATATTATAGAAAATATTTTGGACCCATTACATTTATGTTGCTTTAGATATAACCAGAAATAATACTTCGTTAAAGCACACTTTTCTTTCCACTTCTGCTTGTGAACCATCTGTGCAGGCAGATATGAAAAAAAAAATCACTTTCTTTGCTTTGTATTCAAGTACCCCACTTTCCATGAGAAACGTAGACTATGTTTAGAGCAATAAAAACCTTGAATTATCTAAATCAATAAAACCAGACAGTTCCAAACAGCTAGTTTTTGAACTGAAGTATGCAGTTTCTGATTCTCCTTTTTAAGCAAGTGGGGAAAATCATGGGTTTTTTCTGCCTTCTTGATTTTGTAAACATGAAAAATTAACACAGACTATAACGTCTGCTAAGTAATTGAGAGAATGAAAATTGAGGATGAGAACTGCCTATCTTTGGTCTAAAGTTTGTGAAAAACTATATTATGTAGTGAGGGTCACATGATGTTTTTCAAAGGATTGAATTTACTAGTATCACTTCTCATAGTTTCCTGTTATATTTTCTTTTGTTAAATGTAGATTTAGATCCTGTATAACAAATTTTAATAAATTTCAAAGGTTTTTGAAATTAAATTTATTTCATCCTAATGATTTCTTTGATAAAACACTTTTATCAAGAATAAATTATATCTTAAACTTATTTCTAAGTAAATATACAAGGGAAATAATAGCCACAGTTTTATTTTGTTTTCAGGAAATACTTTGTTCTAGCAGCCTTTTCTGCAGTGGTTCAAATTTAACTTATTATTTAAATGCACAATTGTGTGTGTGTGTGTGTGTGTGTATGTATGTATGTATATATATGTATGTATGTATATATATATGTATATATATATGTATGTATATATGTGTATATATATATATATATATGTATGTATGTATGTATGTATGATATTTTATTATAATTGTCCTTTTGTGTCCTATTAAACTTTTATTAAAAATTGAATACTTTTAAATGAGGTAAAATTTCATATCTGCTAATAAAACTGTGCTTTTAGTTAAATTTACTCTAAAATTAATTTTGTACCTTTTTAAATTTCTGTGCTTTCAGTGGAGCTGGGACTGAATGAAGATGATACTTTTGCTAAGGGGCCTACATTGACTGTATATAAAGAGTCTTTTGAATCTCAATTTCTTGCTGACACAGAAAGATTCTATACAAGAGAGAGCACTGAATTTTTGCAACAAAACCCAGTTACAGAATACATGAAAAAGGTACTATGGTTATATTGCAATTTCCTGGATCTAAAAATAATTGGTACTATATTTGAAGTAGAAATTTAAGCCACCTGTTTTGCCTGGTAGTTGATGAACTACAAGTAGGAACTAACTTCAAAGTTAAACACACATATGGTATGTTTTTCTTAGCCTTGTTTAACTAAAGTTATGGGATTTAGATCCAATATAGATATTTATTCATAAATAAAGGAACTGAAATAATTGTTTACTGCAAACAGAAGAAAAACATTCTGAAACATATAGCTATTTCAAGGATGAAAAATAACAATAGGTAAACATAGAATCTTGAAATATTTAACATAGTTTTAAAATATCAGAAACAAGTGTAAATCACAAAATGCTAAAATAAAGAGATTAAATAATTGAATATTCTTCCCTCACTTCCTTCCTATTAATTTGTTTCTGGATAAAAATAGTGAAACAAAATTACAGAGATATGATATAATTACTCCAAATATTTATAGTATATGTTTCTATGTTTAAATGATTTTGGAATATAGACAGCATGTATTTATTTTATAGGCAGAGGCTCGTCTTTTGGAGGAACAACGTAGGGTTCAGGTATACCTGCATGAGAGCACACAAGATGAATTAGCACGAAAATGTGAACAAGTGCTAATTGAAAAACACTTAGAAATCTTTCATACAGAATTTCAAAACCTATTGGATGCTGACAAAAATGAAGGTGAGCTTTCCCATGTTTAACTGATAGACAGTTACTTTTGATAAATTATGAAATGAAGGTTGAGCTTGTTTCCACATGACTTACATTGTTGGTATGGAAATAATTTCTCATTATCATCGATCCACCAAGAGTTAACTGATTGCAGTTGAGTAATATCAAATAAGAAAATATTTTTGTTTCTCTGTGAACATTTTCATTAATTTGTCAGCGATTAAAGTCATGCAATTTACTTGGATTTTCAGTATGGCATTTGATAAAGTAGACCATAACCTACTACTTGATAAAATAGAAAAATGTGGGTTAGACAGCATCTCCACCAGGTGGATTCATAACTGGCTGCCCAACCACACTCAACATGTAGTCCTCAATAGAACTGCATCTAAATGGAAATATGCAATGGGATTCCCTAAGGCTCTGTTTTAGGCCCAGTTCTCTTCAACATCTTCATCAATGATTTGGACGAGGGGATATATGGGGAACTCATCAAATTTTCAGACAACACCAAGCTAGCAGGAATAGCCAACACTCCAGAAGATAGGCTTAAAATACAGAAGGATCTTGACAAATTTGAACATCAGGCGCTATCTAACAAAATGAAATTCAATGGTGAAAAAAGTAAGGCTCTACAATTAGTCACAATGAGACTATTAATCACAAAGAGACAATTAGAGACAAAGGTAGGGGCCCTTTAACTCCATTTCATTTGACAATTCATTTGAACCTTCCTGAGACTGGTGTTTGGAGCTGCTGGATACTAGAGGGGAGTCAGAGAGACAAAAAGGACTACGGTAGAATATCTATAAGGCAAAATAGCAATAATACATTCTGGATTAGTGCGCTTGAGATTGTGATTGTATTTTATTTCAAAATGACAGGCTTAGTTCAATGTAATAGTTGTTTTGCCCCTGTCTTTCACAGTACTCTCTTCAAATTTGGATACTGTCCCCTTTGTAAATAAATTACTAGTCTACATAGACAGATTACCTATCTAGAATCTCTAATCTGNTGTTGCCATACTTTCTGACTATAAATAGGCATGAAAAACATTGAGAAATTTAATTTAGCTGCATGCAAGGATGAAGGCCTTTGCTTTCACCAGTACTGAGCAGTGGCATTGCATCATTGTGATTTATGAGAGGATTACTCCTGTACAGAAATAGCCAAGAGAGTGAAATGCCATTGCACCACAGTGAACAGAGTGGTTGAAAAATACCAAATAACTGGTTCAATTGATGACAGGCTCCGCTCTGGGAGACTAAGAAAGTCGACAAAATGACAAGATCGGGCTCTGCAACAGGCTGACAGGAAGCTCACCTCACCTCAGATTACAAGAATTTGGGGTGAAACATGTGCTATAAAAGTGTGCACAATCACAGTGTATCACAGACTGCTTGCCAGAAGACTCAAAGGCTGCAGGGCTCAAAGTAAACCTTTGCTCACAGACGCTCACCGTTCTCGTCAACATGCATGGGCCAAGGTCATCTTCAGAGAACAATTTCTACTTACCTGGGAATCAGTGCAATAAGTATGTCAGAAGATTTCCAATTGAGAACTTGTGGGCCAAGATTGGTTACAAAATAAGCTAGAAGCATCCGAAGACCAAGCAGGAGCTGATTGAATCCATTATTGCAGCCTGGCACCAGATTGTCACCAAAGATCACGTGCAAAGGCTTATACATTCTCCAAAGTTGGTGGAGATAGCAGTCATGCATGGGTTAATTCAGCCAGTAATCAATAGAACTGAGTCTACTGATTTGATGTCATAGCCTCTGAGGATAGTCCTCCTGCTTTTTTAGACTCAGTTTGATTGGGACTGGTTGTGCTAATTGCTCCCTCCTCAACTTTTACTTCAAATTGCTGGATTGACTATTTAAAACTCTTTAGAATTGGCTTATTACTAAAATTTTCAATTGGACTTTACCTAAATGTAACTTTTGAAAGAAAAATCATTGGGGAAAGCGTCGCCTGGAGACGGGGCTTTCTAGCCCTCAGTTCTTACAGCTAGGTACAGCCAGGAGAGTTCCTTTTCTTCGAGGCTTGCTGGCTTTCCTTCGAACCCTGCTGGACTTCTCTCTTGCGGCTTGAAGTGCTGCAGGGCACCGACCATTGGAGGACATGCTTAGCGCTCCCGTCTTCGCTGCCTCACTATCGCAGCCAGCGCACACTACCGCTGCCATTAGCATTGCCACTACTTCAAAGTGCCGTGGCTGCTACCTCACTGCAGCCACTGCCAGTAAACGACGATGCTACTCAAGCCGCCACCACTACTCGCAATGCCACAGCCGCTGCCTACTTGTCCCCGCGACATTCGTTAAGAGCCCTCATTGGCCTCATCGCTCCACAGGCCTCTTCCACCTCGTGGTGCCCGACCCAGAGGCTTTTGAGCCTCAGTGGCCACTTTTTTTTTGGCACAAAGTTCTCCGGTGGCCATTTTGAGGCTTCATCTTTGGATCACCAGGTCGTGAGTACAGGTCATGACCTCCTCTCCTACCCACGAGCCCCAGGCACCTCCAACCACCCAGGCTCCTAATCCTTCCTCTGGCTCTCCAGTGCCCAGATCCAACAGGCGCAGGCCTGCCCCAGAGGCTTCAACTAATGAGCCCCCTGCCAAGGTGCCAAGGCCTAGTCGCAGGGCCACTGCTAATCCCCCTTCTCAGCATGAGGGTGATGCACCTCCCCTAGCAGGCACCTCCTAGGAAGGCCTGGGCCAAGACCAAACACACAGCTTCATCCTTTCCAGGCCCAAGGCCTGCTGAGCCTAGCCCCCCTCTTGATTTATCGTCGGATTCAGAGGATGGTTTATCTTCTGCAGCATCTATAATCCAACCCAAGGAAGCAAGGGTCTCAGGCGACCATGTTTGCAGTGGGGATGAGTCAGATGGGGGCAAGAGCCTTACTCCTGACAAGGAACTCTTATCCTAGGAGAATGCCTCTCCTCTGTTCAGGCCCCCGACTTATACAACTGAAATGACTTCTATCATATCCGACACCATTGAACTGGACATAGCAGCAGGTCTTAGGCACAGGTTATCTAATCATTCTACTCCACGCAGGTCCTCTTCTTTGAGTTCCAGACACAGGAATGGTGATCTCTACTTTTTCATCACACAAGCTTCCTGGAACCTCCAGCCAACCTCCGGTTTTCGGAGAGCAGGACCGCCCTGCGCGAGATTCGGACCTATCTGAGGACGAAGGTCTCCCTCCCGACTCTCCTACCTTTATAGGCCTCTTTAAACCGGCTATTTTCAATCTCTTCTTTTTAAGGCCAAGAAAATCACTGGCATCCCTCCTCCCAAGACTCCTCAGGGAACGGAGGCGGATAAGTCGGACACCACTGACCCCCTCTTCATCCAACCCAAGGTGGAAAAGGAGGTGATTCCCTCGTCCAGGCTCTTCATCGACATGGTGCAGAACCAGTGGCTGTCGCCAGGTACAGGCCCCCTCCCCAACACTTTGGACAACCACCTGTACAATGTGGGACCCAAACTCTCCAAGGCTCTTGAGGTACCCTCCATTGATTTACCCGTTTTAAGTTTGGCCTCTCCTAATGCGGCCTCTGCAGCTCCTGTGGAGGCCCTTCGCCCTGAGGACAAAAGGCTTGAGCAAACTCTAGTCAAGGGCCATCAAGTCTCTGCATGGGCCATTCGGGCAGTTACCTTTGCATCTTTCTTTAGTTGTTCTGCTCGCCTGTAGCTAAGACAACTTCAAGGGAGACTCCCTGCCCAGGATTCTAGGGCCTGCATGGACATTAATAAATTAAAGGCGTCCCTAGAATACACCGCTGATGCTTCCTTGGATACAGCCTACTTTGCGTCTCAATTGCCTCCACTGTCTCCTCCCTCCGGCTACTCTGACTTAACAATGGCAAGTGGAGGCCCAGGCTAAGTGGAGGTTGGCTTCATCTCCCTATTCTACTTCTCTTCTCTGTGGACCTCCTCTGGAGCTTCTTCTAGTGGAGGGAAAAGATAAAAGGAAGGTTCTGCAACCAGCCACTAAAAAGCAGGAAAGCTGGAATCAATCCTTCTATTGTAGGCAGCCCTTTCGAGGGCAGGACAGGGGTTCCTCTAACTCCCGTCTGCAATGTCAGGCCCCACCCAGACAGAGACCCTCCTTTTCAAATAGATCAGGCAGAAATAGCCAGAGATTCCAGCCCAGAAAATCCTTCAGAGAGAATTCCAACCGTTCCTTCAAGAGATAGAAGTGAATGTCTGGAGGATCTCCCAATAGGGGGACGTCCAGCAGCCTTCACGGATCGTTGGGACAACATCACCAATGCCGCGTGAGTCAAGTCCACAATCAGATTCGGCCTTTCTTTGGACCTGTGCTCCAACCCTCCAAACCACTTTGTCACATGCCCGATTTCTACGGATCCTCACAAGAGGCTCCTTGTAAAACAAGCCATTCTTCATCTGCTTCACATTCGGGCAATCCAACCTGTCCCTCCAGACCAGGTAGGATGGAATTTTACTCTCGTCTCTTTATTGTGCCAAAGTCTTCTGGGGGCTGGAGAGCAATCCTCAATCTCAAATATCTCAACAAATTCATCAGATACAGGAGATTCAGAATGCATTCTCTCCTGTCCATTCTGGAGAGTGTGCACAAAGACGATCTCCTCACATCAGTGGACCTCATAGAGGCCTATCTTCATGTGCCCATTCTCAAACAACACAGGTGATTCCTCAGGTTCGTCTATGCAGGCAGTCATTTCCAGTATCGGGCCCTCTCCTTTGGGCTTTTATCAGCCCCAAGAGTATTTACCAAACTGCTTGCTGTGATAGTAGTCCACCTTCGAGCCAGACCCATTTCGATATTGCGCTACCTGGATGACATTCTTTTGCTGTCCAGGTCGCACAGTCAGGCTCTCCAGGACCTTCAGATCACCACGCGGTTGCTTCAGGAACAGTGTTTTTCTATAAATCATGAGAAGAATCACAGTTTCCACCTGCCGACTAGTTCAGTTAGGAGCTCTCATAGATTCCCCTCAGGGGAAGGTCTTCCTGTCTCTAGAGCATCAGATCAGCCTCAGGGACTTAGCCAATGAAGTGTGCAGGAAACATTTGGTTCCACTTCTCCAAATGTCCCAACTGCTGGGGAAAATGGTCTCATGCTTCTCCATCGTCCCATGGGCATGGCTTCACAGCCACTGCCTCCAGTGGTTTCTATTAGCATACCAGAAGACCACAGCAGTTGTTCCCTAGTGAAGGTCAGACTGATGCAGGTATTGATCCAGTCTCTGGGCTGGTGGGTCTCCCCGGCCATCTCTCAGGAGTCCCTGTTCAGGGATCCTCCACGACTCGTAGTCACGACAGAAGCAAGTCTGACAGGATGGGGCACTCACCTGGAGGATCAGGTGGCTCAAGGACTCTGGTCGGATTCCGATCTTTCTCACAGCATGAATTGGCTATAGTTGAGGGCCATTCATCTGGCCCTCCTCCACTTCCACCCATCGATTCGCAACTCCCATGTACTGATTTGAACAGACAACACAAAGGCCAAGGTGCACGTCAACCGCCGGGGGGGACGAGGGCTATATCGTTCATGGAATCTGCCTTTCGCCTAGGGATCTGGGCTGAAGCCAATCTTCTATCCCTACATGCCGAACACATATCAGACACAGACAACACCCGGGCAGACTGGCTAAGCCGCACAACAATTGATCCTGCGGAATGGAGCCTGAATTGTCACATCTTCAGACAATTACCCACCAGGTACGGAACTCCATGACTGGATCTATTCGCAACAAGCTCCAACAAACAGCTGCCCAGGTACTTCTTTTGTTACATGACACCAGGCATGGAAGGGACGGATGCCTTAAGGTGCAGGTGGCCTCCCGGGCTCCTGTACACCTTCCCTCCCTTCCCCCTGATACAGATGGTGATTCGCAAAATGCTGGAAGAGGAGGCGGAGCTCATCCTGATTGCTCCTTATTGGCAGTGCCGACCCTGGTATGTGAACTTGATCAACCTATCGGTGGATCCTCTATGACGACTTCCCATGATCAGCTCGCTTCTTCAGGAGTGCATTCATCACCCCGACATCCTCTGGCTCCGCCTGGAGGCTCAGTGGGCGGCCTTGAAAGCGGCTAGTCTCTCTGACAAAGTAATCCGGACTATTCAGGCGTCTCGATCATCATCCATCAACACAATATACGAATCTACGTGGCAAACGTTCATAGCGTGGTGCAGTCCTCGAGGGGTCATCGCCCTCCAAGCCTCTGTAGCCCATGTCTTGGAGTTTTTGCAAAAAACTCGACAGAGGACTGTCACCTAACACCCTATGGCGGCAGGTGGCAGCTCTTCGGTTTTCTCTTTACATCGCGAAGAACCTCTGTCTCTGCACCCTCATGTACATCGCTTCATCAAGGGCGCTTCTAACCTCTGCCCTCCGGTCATCCATCGCTTCCCTTCATGGGATCTTGGCAAAGTCCTTGACTACCTCACAGAACCACCTTTAGATCGGCCTNAGGATATCCTGCCTAAGCAGGGGGTTGGATAGAAGACCTCCAAGATCCCCTCCAACTTTGTTATTCAATTCTTTTGAAAACTATTAGCTCTGATTATTATTATTATTCCTCAAGCGCTTTATCATGAAATTGCAAGTTTTTAAAAATAAGTTTTGTATTCTCTCTTATTTTTATGTCAGTTTTATGTTAAACTGTATAAAATACAGTTTAATATTGAAATGAAGATGTTCTCTCTGGCATTTTGCTCTCTGAGACTAGATGCATTGTTTTAAATTTAGAGTTGATTATTTTAGTATATTTTCAGATCGTAATCTCTTTCTAATACTTGAGTTAATAACTGAGATGGTGACATAAAATATTAATGCAAATTAAAATAAATCTTGTTTTCTTTTTTCTCCCAGATTTAGGACGCATGTATAATCTTGTTTCTCGAATTCAGGATGGCCTTGGAGAACTGAAAAAACTTTTGGAAACTCACATTCATAATCAGGGTTTAGCTGCCATTGAAAAATGTGGAGAAGCTGCATTAAATGTGAGTATTAGATTGACCGTGTGTTTTAAATTCATATTATATTCATTAGCTCGTGATTTCATCTAAAGGGGCATGTATATACATCATGATATCAAAATTTTAGGACTGTATATGTAGCAGGCAAGAATGAATCATTCCTTATTCAAAATTTATTGAACCATCTTGCTACTTACAGTCTCCTTTCTATCAAATGATTAATGCTCTGCTATGAAAATCTGTTAATGTAAACATTTAAATAAGCATGTTCAAATTATTCCAGTAATTCTTTGTGCAACTCAAATGTTTTGCTTTTAAAAACTTGAAAGGAATTTTCAACTACATTCATTTATAGAAGCAGAACAATAATAATTATTGCTAGGAAAGAATATTTGTAGCTCAGGATTCAATTATGGGGTCCTTGATACTCTCTGAAGACAGCAAGGTAAGAGATTGCTAAGAACTCCACAGTAATAATTGTAATAGGGGAATGAAATGTAAAATTGGGAAATGAAATGTAAAATTATTGCATGTCTCAGTTGAAAAGTATATTCTTGACTTTTTTTCCAGAGCATATGTTACATTAGCAATAAACTATTTTCTTTTTTCACTTGGAATAAATAATAGAATAAATAAGTAGTTTTCTTCAATAAGAAAACATGGAAAATCTTAAATTGATATAAATGTAGCATTTATATTAGAAAGCAGGCACATAGCTAGAATTCTAGTCCGTGGTCTTTGCCAAATATATCAAATTTAGGCCAGTTTTTTCTGATGATGGAAGTATCTGCCAATGTTGGTATTTCCTGAATGGATCCATGCAGGCTGCAATGAAGCTATTGCTGTGGCAGCAATAAAAGGAGGAGTCGTCCATATTTGCATATATATGTTTCTTTTAAATTTACACTCTGAAGAAGGTAATGTTTCAATCTTAGAAAAATAGTATTTCAAGCCATAATAGCAGTAAATACAATAATTATAAGAGTTGAAGAAAAATATTGCAATTAACAATGAACTAGTGTTATTTCTAGATATGTTTTAAGAAGAGTTCAAAACAGATTGAAGAAGTTGTAGCAAAAATTATCAGGGATTTGCAAATCAAGTTCTAATAGCTATAATTGAGGTAACTGCATACAAGTAGTTCTTATTTAATAATAATAATTGAGACTGGAATTTGTCTTTAGAAGTGACGTGGTCATAGTGGCCATATCATTTAGAAATGATAATTCCTGCAGTTCCAGTTACTGTTGTTAAGTGAGGTGCATGGCACAAGTGCAGGTAATACAGGGTAAGATATATAAGGATCCATCTGCAGGTGACTGCTGTGGGGCAGGGGAAAATGCAAGATGTTCTTGTGCAGCATGAGCACAGCAGATGGCTGCTGTGGGATGGAAAAGATTGCAAAGGTCTGCAGAAAAAAATACAGACCTGCAGTAGCTGCTACCAAATGAAGGAGGACATGCAGTGGTCTGGCATAGTATAAGCAGACGAAGATATAGAGTGGATGCTGCTGGATACGGGAGATTTACTTGAGCAACTTGCAACCTTCCCTGCTTGCTTCCCCATTAACTTTGCTTGTGTGTTTCATTTTTTCCCCATTTTGAGCCCAAAGTTCAGAAATGATTTTTCAACTGGAAGCAGAATCTTTTTTTTTAATTAAGACAGTTCTGTCAGCTCCACCAACTCTATTACATTTACCATCCATTCTTCCATTGTGGGAATTGGTATGTCTTTCTGTCTCTGGTCATACAAATTTATTGCTGTATTTAACTTATATAATTACAAAATCTCAAATTTTCTTTCAACATCTTTTACATTAGACACAAAAGGAAAACTATATTCATTTAAACAGTTTTCTGGATTAAAATAAAAATCTAGTGTCAGTATTTATTTGCTTTATCATAAATCAGTTGAGATCCAGTTTGGTCTAGTGAGTAAAACGCCAAACAAGGTAGGTGACTTTGAACCAGCCACTCTCAGCCCAGGTCACCTCACAAGGTTGTTTTTGTGGGGAAAATAAGAGAAGGAAGTAGTCTATTTGCCACCTTGTTATTTATTTTAAAAAAATGCTGAATAAATGAATAAAAATTCCACCAGAGATTATAAAAAATGCCATTTTTATAATAGCATTTTCAGCATATATTTGAATTCCTTTGTACCTTTTTAAAAATTTCTCAGTCATCAAATACCAACAGTATTAAATCATTGGGGAGGGGAGGATTTCTTAATTATACAGTTTTACAACAGAACCAGTTATGCCAGTGAGACAATAGACTTTCCTTTACTCTTAATGAACAAGAAAAACTGAATTTGGATTCATACAATGGGTGAAGGTTGGCCTACATGATTCCTTATAACTTGTTTAAAAATTCAAATATACCAATTCTGTGTGTTAGTAATAAATCCGTGATTCTCAAACATTTCAGGCCCAGTACCCCTTAACATTATTAAAAGAGATTAAGAACCTCAAAGTGGTTTATGTGGATTACATTTATCTCTATTAGTATTTTGGAAATTAAAACTTATTAAAGTTTTAATATTTAATAAATATTTATAATAACAATTATTAAATATTTGACACTGTAGAATCCAGGAATTTCAGGAACTTGAAACCATAATTTAAGAACTGCTGAAATGAGTTATTAGAAATGGACAAACTGATTTAATTTGTTTTGATATAATAAAATGGGCAAGATTTTGTGGAATGAGCATATGTTATTATCCATTAAGAACAGGTTATCTTGGTGGTATTATAATCAGAAGCTTTTTGTTAAAAGAAATACACTGGGTTTCAGTAGAAGTTATATGTCTATGTAAAATGTTAAGCTTTTCTTTACAAGTCAATTTAAATAGATGAATATGAAAAGATTTCTCCAAAGTATGCAGTTAAAAGAAATTAGGAGAGTTTATCACTGCTTTCTTTTTAATTTTTAGGATCCAAAAATGTATGTACAAACAGTGTTGGATGTTCATAAGAAATACAATGCACTAGTGATGTCAGCTTTCAACAATGATGCTGGTTTTGTTGCAGCTCTAGACAAGGTAATATGTTTAAGTATTTTATCTATAACTAGCCAGTGACTAATTTTGGAAATGTCTGAACATTTCATTTATATATTTAACAGGCTTGTGGTCGCTTCATAAATAATAATGCAGTAACAAAAATGGCACAATCATCTAGTAAATCTCCAGAATTGTTGGCACGTTATTGTGATTCTCTGCTAAAGAAAAGGTACATATTTTGGAGAAAGTTTTATCCTCTAATTTCCTAGATTATTCCCCATTTCACTGATATCTCACTTTTAAACATTACTGCCTATGATTTTTTTTTAAGTTGCCCTGGAAGCTACAGCTATTGTAAAATTTCAGAGACTAGATTTTAATTGCATTGCCTGCCAGCAGCATATTCTTTAGCTAAGTTCAGTGTCCTTGTTTTAGTAAAATGTTACTATATAGCATAGAACCTACATCATTCTGTATTACGTTCTTCCTTGTTTACTTGCCAATTTGCTAGAGATTCTCCCTGCAGTAAATTAAATAGGATGTTTCACTACAGACCAAATACTGAGAACTAGGAATTCCTACCTAGATTAGTGGCCGGATTATTAGCTTTCAGTTATCAAAAACTGAAAGCTTCTTCAACCAGGGATTTTGTTGTATTATACTTCCATGTTTAGTGTGACAGTGTTCTTATTGTCTTAAGATGTATTCTATTCAGGAATTATTTTTTAAATGGAAAACAATTAAAACTATAAATAGATGAATAGGTGGAATGTAATTTGCTCTTGTCGCAAAAGCCATTGAAAATTGTTTTATTTGTTTGTTTATTAAATTTTCATCCTTGCTTTATTACTTTACAAATAACTCAAGACATCAAACATACATAATACTTCTTCCTTCGCCAGTTTTCCCCACACCACAAAGCCTATGAGGTGAATTAGGCTAAAGAGCATGTTCCAAGTCACTCAGCCAGCTTTCATTCTTAAGGAGAAACTAGAATCCACAGTCTCCTGATTTCTAGCCAGCACTTTAATCATTCCCTCAAAGTGGCAAACTAGAATACTTTTATATTTTTTGGTTTGAGCGTAATTTATTAAGAATCAAAGGAGTGCAATGTACTTTTTCTGGTTGCAGATCAAAGTAACAAAATATTTTGTTGGTGACCACAGATTTAATTATGGAAAAATTTTCTCTTATAAAATAATGCAATGGAGGGCTTGTTTATTTACAAAATTGTTGTTATAGTAGATATGATTAATCACAAAAGAACCTTGTGGATTAGGAGACACACACGCACACACAAAACCTAATGGATTTGAAAACACTATATACATATACACAAACACACACACACACACACAAACATACACAAAAATTGAAATAATGGGCTTGCTGGATCATAACAATTTTAATGCCCTTTTGACTGTAGCTCAAAGAATCCAGAGGAAGCGGAGCTTGAAGACACACTTAACCAAGTGGTAAGTTTATGTGTAATTATGTATACATAATTATGTATAATTTTTGGAAATTGGTTTACAATGATAATTGGAGCTGGACTCAATAGGATAACATGATTTGCCTTGAATCCTTCTTGTTTCTATAATTAAAGCACTTATTTATATGTGATACTTATACATTATCCATATTACTCTTAGTTGATAATTATTTCAAGCAGGAAGTATGCTTTTACAACATACTTAAAAATACATAGTAACTTAAAGTATATAGTTCTTTTTATGTAAAACAAAATATATAAATATTTTTTTAAATATATAAAAATAATTATGTTTTGTTGAGAGAAATATGAAGTTGGCTGTAAAGGTCTTGTTCTAAAAATAAATACTAAAAATTCATGCTTCTTCTAGATGGTGGTCTTCAAATATATTGAGGACAAAGATGTGTTTCAAAAATTCTATGCCAAAATGCTGGCAAAGAGGCTGGTACACCAGAACAGTGCTAGTGATGATGCTGAAGCAAGTATGATTTCCAAATTGAAGGTGTGTTTCTCTTTTGTTTATGTGTCTTTTATTGCTTATATTTGCCAAAACGTCATGTACCAATGATACTCATAAACTATATAAACATGTATGTATTAATTGAAAATATCTAAAGACATATGGTAACTAAATGAATATTATATTTAAAATGATTTTCTTTTGTTTATTACAGGTAATCCTCGAGATACGACAGTTCACTTAGTGAGCATTTGAGGTTACAACATAACCACCCACCCACCCAAGTTCTTAAACACTGTCCAAAAGTTGTGAAAGTTGCAGCACTACAGCAGTCATTCACCTTTAGGAACGACCACAGAGGCACTGAAACATTCGCCATGCCTATTATCTCCTACCTCCGCCAGGTCTACACAGGCACTGGGTCTGTAGAGACCCACCTTTGTAAAGATCTAGCAAGCCTTTGCTTGCTTCAGACATTCGGTGCCTTCACAGCGAACAGAGGCCTAAAGAAATGCGAGATCACACAAGATGAATAGCGTGAGATCTTGCGCTATTGATCTTGCATGATCTCATACTATTTTAGGCCTCCTTTCTCTGCAGATTGAGGCCTGGACGAGGTCTGCGGCAAAAGGCTTTGCAATTAGAGGGAAGGCTTCGGTTTTTAAGCCCTCCCTTTGTTTGCCGTTTCCTTGCCACAGCCTGCAGGGGTGAGAGATTGCATCCCTGTAGGCTCTGATTGTCCTTGTAAAAGCCTTTGCTGGCAAGGATGGAGCCTGGGAGAGGCCGGTCCATCCCTCTTGGGCTCTGTTCTTTCTGGCAAAGGCTTTTTGCAAAGGCTTGCCGAAGCCTACAGGGAGATTGCATCCCTGTAGGCTCCAGTCATCTTTGCAAAATGCCTTTGCTAATAAGAACGGAGCCCAGGACGGACCGCACCCCTCTCCCAGGCTTTGTTTATGGCAGCAAGGGCTTTTTGCAAAGATGATCGGAGCCTATGGAGATGCAATCTCTCTCTAGGCTCCTATCGTCTTTGCAAAAAGCTCTTGCTGCTAAAAATGGAGCTGCATCAAAAATTGAGCCTGGAAGGGACACAACAGCGGCTCCATTTTTGGCAGCAAGGACTTTATGCAAGACTCCTATCATCTTTGCTGCCTCGTTCCTCCCAGGCTCCGTTTTTGGCGGCAAGGATCTTTTGCAAAGATGATTGGAGTCTAGAGGGACATTGAATACCCCTACACTTCAATCATCTTTGCAAAAAACCCTTGCCGCCAAAAGCACAGCTGCTACCGCATCCCCTCCTGGGCTCAGTTTTTGTTGCGGCTCCATTTTTGGCAGCAAGGGTTTCTTGCAAAGATGCTTGAGTCTAGAGAAACACAATCACCCTCTAGATTTCAGCAAGCCTTTGCTCAAGGTGAAATCATGGCAGAGACGCTGGAGAGGGTAGCTCATCGAGATCTTCAAAAGGTAAGTGGACTCATTCAGGCAGGATTGGTGAGGGGAATCATGAGATATCTCAGTGGGTTGGGGTGGCCTTGGGTGATTGGAAGCTCTAGACCCCCCATGCTCTTCCCCACCCTAAGATATCTTGTGCACTAAAGAACCTGCGCATTTGATTAGCAAAGGCATGGGCAAAGGCAGAGAATTTTCACGTTCATTTAACATAATTCATTCCAATGAATCCTCAGGTTACAAATGTAATTGACAGGCTCCATCTCGTAACTCAAGGATTACCTATATAGAATAGTTTTCTTCATGTTTAATCTATCTCCCAATACAAGAAATTGATTCAAATTGTTCATTATTGTTCATAATAAACATTTATTTTCAAGTATTCCTACGGTAGGCTAAATAATTTTTTATCTTGATACATTCAGATTTTTAATGTTATGTTTGAAAGCTAGATAGTTTTGCACTTCACAAAAATAGTTATTTGTTCACATCCATGTTTTTGCTTTGTTTTATTTTTTATTCAGAACAGCTGAATAAATGGAACATGAAAATTGAACATGAATACTAATCTATTTAAATCAGTTTTTAGACTCTCATTAGTTCTCAAAAATCTCTTAAGCAGAACTTTATATTTTCAAAATGTGTGTTGGCCTGTCATACACAGAATTTAAGAGCGCATATGTTTACATGCTTATGGAAGAGCAAACAACCATTTGTTGTTGATAAACATGTATTGTTTTTGGTGAGCTTTTAAATTACCACAAGTGAACAGGTGATTAAAATAATTGTTTTTATTGAGCTTTGGTTGTAATTTCTCCATAAATCTATTATTTTAAATAATTCAATAATTATAATAACTTAAGGTGAACCATTTTATAAAGAATTGCTAGCTGCAGGTAGAAAACGTGTATACCATAGAAGTAATTAAACAATAAATTTATGTTGACTTTTGGTGGTCAGATCAAGGCTGAAAATTTTCTGCACTCAGATGCTAAAAGTAATTAAATTGCTAGAAAAATCTATTTGTTTATTTCAGTCATATTAAATCTTAACATAACTTTATTATTATTATAGTGGTTACATTGTACTAGAGGACTTATAGATAAGATTTTTCTGTAGTGTGTGCATTACTTTATCTCAAAATGTATAACTTCATAATTGTTCTGTGATTCATTATAGCAAGCTTGTGGCTTTGAGTACACATCCAAACTTCAAAGGATGTTCCAAGATATAGGTGTAAGCAAAGACCTGAATGAGCAGTTCAAAAAGCACCTATCCAATTCAGAGCCATTGGATTGTAAGCAAAGTTAAAATTTATTTGTTTTCAAACCTGTAAATTAATATACATTTTTATAGATTGATGAAAGTGAATAGTATATTAATGAAGGAAGTAGTCTTCCTTACAAATCAATCCAATATTGAAAATTATATAAATGGATTTAAGATTCTATCTATCAGTAAGATGCTTCTCCAAAAACAAAATAAGAAGGGACCAAAGTAGGCATGGGAAAAGAACATTTGTTTTAAAAGCATTTTAGGAAAGAGCTGATATTGCAAGCAGTGAAAAGGATCAAAAACTACAGCAAATTTTTGTTCTGTAAGACAATACTTTACATAACTTTACTTGATTTGCTTTGAACTATAAGAAATGCCAACTTCAATTTTTAGAAAGTGTCTTATCAGTAATTATACTGCTGAGAAAAAGAAAGAAGGCTAGGGTGTGGGGAGAGATTAGAATCTAAACATCGACTTTTATGTGCAAGACTGTTCTGATACTTAGGATACAATTTTAACTTAGAAGTGTGTTAATCTAAGTGGTTTTACATCAAATGCCAACAAAAAGGGTTTCTCCAGTCAGGCTCAGTTCCTAGAACTATACACTGTATGCACAATTATTAGACAAGTTGTAATTTTGAGGATTAATTTTATTATTGAACAACTACAGTGCACTCTGTCAATCTAAAATGTTAATGAATCTCAAACCTGAATATTTGAGGAAGTAAAAGTGAGGTTTTGGTTTTCCTAGGAGAATATCTATGTGTGCACAATTTTTGGGCAACCATTATTATGAATATGATTGTAAAACCTAACTATTATTGCACAAAAAAATTGTACCCAGATGACACACTGTTTAATGGACTGTTTGTATCAAGATAAAATAAAAAGTTTTAAAAAATAATTATTCAATAATTTATTAGTGTGTAGAAGTATTACGCAACTAAATGAGAAATTTCCCATCTTACTCATTTATTTTCATCTGTTAAAGGGAGAATAATAAAACTCAAAATTTACAAACAAACATTTCTGACATTAAAAAAAAAACAGTGACCAATATAGCCACACTTCTTTTCAATAACAGTTATTCCATTCATGGAGTCTATCAGTTTCTTGATCTGTTGACGATCAACTTTTTGTGCGGCACCAACCACAGCGTCCCAGACACTTTCAGAGAGGTATCACTGTAAATCTCCCATTTAAGAAGGGCCCACAAGTTCTCAATAGGGTGAGGAAGGTAGCACGTCATTATTATTTCATCTTTTAAGGCCTTTACTGGTTAGCCACGCAGTGGAATACTTCAATGCATGTGATGCATAAATATTATGGTCATCTTGAAAGATTACTACTGCTTGAAGAAAGTGTCTTCTAAAAACTGGCAGTAGGTTTGGGAGTTGATTTTGAGTCCATCTTCAACCCGAAAAGGTCCAGCTATAGCTCATCTTTAATAATACCAGTCTGTACCAGTTTCCCACCTCCACCTTGCCGGCTCTTGAGTTTTAACTGGAGGTCTGTGCCTGTTAACTAATTTAGCCACTGACCCACCCATCTGATCCATCAAGAATCACTCTTGTGTCATCAGTCCATGAAACCTTTGAAAAAACAGTCTTCAGATATTTCTTGGCCCAGTCTTGTCATTTCAACATGTGTCTTGTTCACATGTGGTCAGGTTTCAGCATTCCTTAACTTGGTCATGTCTCTGAGCACTGAATACCTTGTACCTCTGGGCAGTCCAGGTAGGTTGCAGTTCTGAAATATGACAGCACTGGAGGTAATGGGCACCAGGTAAATTCATATTTGATTTATCTCAAACCTTTGGTGCTTGATGTCTGTCTTTTTTTCTCAACATGTTTTTTGTGACCCTGATGACTATTTGCAACAAAATGTTTGATGTTTCTGTGATGATGGCACAATATCTTAGCAATTTCAAGAGTGCTGCATCCCTTCGAAAGACTTTTTACCATTTTTGACGTTTTCAGAGTCAATTAATTTTTTTTAACCTATTTTGCCTAATAATTATGCACACCTTGATATAGGGTATTGATCTCCTTAGGCCACACCTTCCTTTATTACACAAATACATATCACCTGATATGCTTATATCCAATAACTATTCAAATTTAGAGGTGGAAAATATGAATAAAATGATAATATGGTCAAAGTAATAATTGTGCACAGTGTAGATATGCAGGTAGTCCTTGATTTACAACCATAATTGAACCTAGAATTTATGTTGCCGAGTGAGAAATTTGTTAAGTGAGTTTTGCCCCATTTATGACATTTCCTGCCATAGTTATTATGTGAATCACTGCAGTTGATAAATTAGTAACCTGGTTGTGAATCTGGCCTATCCATCAGAAGGTTGCAAAAAGTGATCACATGACCCCAGGATGCTGCAACAGTCATAAATATGAACCAATTGCCAAATATCTGAATTTTGATCACATGATCATGAAGATGCTGTGAAGGTTGTAACTGAAAAACAGTCAGTCACTTTTCAGTGCTGTTGTAACTTTGAACGGTCACTAAATGAACTGTTGTAAGTCGAGGACTACCTATACATGTTCAATTTTCTTGACAATTGTCCCTAAGTCAGTGTTTCTGTTGCTTTTTTATTCTCAATTTTGTCTGTAGATCTAGAATTTTGAAGTTGTATCAGTACAAGTATCAATGAGGTCTGATTCTACTTACCAGTTTATATGATCTATAAATGTAGCTGGAGTTATCACGTGGCTGAATTAAACATGGATAAGATCTTGCAAAACTGGAATATATTTAATTAAATATAGGATGCCTGGGACGTGGAATTGTGCAGTTAATATTTTTATTAGTTGAATTGATTGGATGATATTTGTAATTTTCTTCAATTCTTGTGTTTTAAATAATTTCTATGCAATTTTTCTCCAATATATTTTACGATATCTTTGAAAATAAAAGACTCCTTATTTTTGTTTAATTTTAACATAACATTTCTTCATAGCATTATCGTTCCTAACCAAATAATTGTTCATTTAATCTATTTTGTTGGTCAGTGATTGAAATAAAATTACTGACTTAACTGTTCATGTTTTTATATTAGTGGACTTCAGCATACAAGTACTAAGCTCTGGATCTTGGCCCTTTCAAATGTCTTGTGCATTTGCTCTCCCATCAGAGGTAAGACCATCTTAGTTTCTATATTTTAAGATTGTAATATTCTGGAAGGCTAATGGAAAGTTCTGGTTGAGGCATCTAGTAATGTCTTTTTTTTAATGTTTTTTTTTTTAAATTTGTGACACATGCATACGTGTTTTTAGTACTGTGAGCTCTATATACTGTTTCCCCCGAAAATGACAGGGTCTTATTTTCTTTTGTCCCATGAAATATGGCCTTGGGCTTATTTTCGGGGGTAGGCTTATATTTTTGCCCACACAAAAAATGTGGCAAGGCATTAGTTTCAGGACAGGTCATATTTTTGGGGAAACACAGTAGTCCCATCTCATCACATAATTGTACAACTTATTTGAAGGATGGATTTATTGATTTTGTCAATAGATGTTAGCATAACATTTTATACTTTCTTTTTTTGAGAGAGAGGGAGGAGGGGTTCTTTTTTGTTAAAAAGGAATGAGTATTTTGAGTTTTATTCACTTCAAAGTTTTCATAGGTTTTATAGTTGCAACAGTTCTTACGTTGCAATTCTAGAATTATATTTCACTATTGTAAACTTATGTATATGTAAGCCCAAGACTGTGGATCAGCTAAAATCTGAGAGCAAGTACCAAAAGACTCCTGAGAACTATCAATTTTTGGTTTTTTCTTTCTAGTCAGTATATTTTAGATCATTCTGCAACTTATTGTTGCTGGTCTTTAATGGCAGATCAGTCCATAATAAGATAGCAGTCTCTTTGATGAAATCATACATTATCCAATTAGGGCTTACCCATCTCTTTCTGCTTGTACCCTTTCACAGCAAACCAGCGATACTGACTATTTTTTGTGTGTGTTCTTTATTTGAAGTTGAGTCCAAGAAATAGTTTGGACATTCTCCAGGTGTACTTTCTACTCTGTCTAAGCTGATTGTGTGGTTTCAAGCATAGTCCTATAAAGCAATATATTGATCTGCCCTAAAAGCTATAGAATCAGCATCTCCTAATACAATATACCTATAAACATGATTTAGCAATATGCTGAAAATCTCTCTCTCAGAATAGGCCAACAGGTATGGGTCCAAAAATAAGCCTTCTTTGCAGTTGTCCTAACCTTATGGAATAGCTTCTCTCCCTCTCTATCAAAAGTTTCTGAAAAGTGGTCAAGATGGTGATCTTCTGCTAAGCTTTAGGAAATAAGGAAAAAGGTGAGGTGCAGCTTTTTCTGCTGGTTTTAGTTGCTGATTGTAAATCTTATGGAACTTGTACTTTTTATATTGGATTATAAGTACTATAGCTCCCATGATAACTGTGGAGTTGCTACATAATTAAGGCCTTCATTCAGTATTGCTAGGCTTTTTGAAAACGCCCATTTTCATGTTAAATTTAATATTTTTCACATACTTTGCTGATGACAGTCTGTTTTATGTCATCTATGTCAAGTAATATGCCACACTGGACTCTGCTAGACTCAGTAATGGATTGTATGATTGTCAATAAATAAAGAAAAAGAACTATCAAAGCGCTTGTTTTTGTTTAGGAATTAAATGTACAATCTATTGTAGATGGCATGCTTTCTCCTTAAAAGAGTACATACTCAGCTGAGTGTTCTCATAGCCAGTTCATGTTCAAGTAGATTAACTGGCACCAAAATCTTCTGACAAACCTTGCTGAATGACATCAACAATAATTGGCTCCAATTATTGCTCCATTTCTCTACTCTGCTTAAGACTGTAAATGTAAATATGATATGGTTTGGTTTGATTTGATTTGAAATGCAGCTGGAGCGCAGTTATCAGAGATTTACTGCTTTCTATGCAAGTCGTCACAGTGGCAGAAAATTAACATGGTTGTATCAGCTATCCAAAGGCGAACTAGTTACCAATTGCTTCAAAAATCGATATACTCTACAGGTAAAGTACACTGTGATTTGGTTAAAAACATATTCAAGTAAAATGTTAAGAAATTTGTTTTTTTCTGATACTATATCTTGAATTTGGAAATTTTGCTAATATTTCTGTCTTCCCTCCTGCATTTTATTTACCTTCTCTAATATATATTTGTTTAAATAAGTACACAAAATATGCTGCTAATATATACTAATATTAATATTCACATTAATAATATCATAATATAATCAAATATATATGTTTAAATTGTGTAAATAAGCCACTTATAGATAAAATCCCTTGAATAGTTAGTCTGCATATACAGTGCATTCAGAAAGTACTCAGACCTCCTTCACTTTTGTCATTTTTGTTATACTGCAGCCTGATTCTGGCGTTGAAATTCAATTTTTTTCCTCATTAATCTACACTCAGTACCCCATAATGTAAAAACAGAATTTTAGACATGTCTGTAAATTTATTAAAAAGGAAAAAACTGAAATATCACACGGCATACATATTCAGTTCCTTTGGAATAATCCTTGAAATTTAGGTCAGTACCTTCCAGTGCTCTTAATTGTTGCTGACCTGTTTCTACACTGTGATTGGAGTTGACCTGTGGTAAATTAAATTGACTGGTCATTATTTTGAAAGGCACACACCTCTCTGTAGAAGGCCTCATAACTGACAATGCATACTGTAGCAGAGCAAAAGTCATGAGGTCAAAGGAACTGTCTGCAAAGCTCAGAGACAGGATTATTGCAAGGCACAGATCTGGGGATGCAATAAAATTTATGCTGCACTGATGGTTCCTAAGAGCATAGTGACCTTCATAATTCTCAAGTGGAAGGTGTTTGGTACAACATTGACTCTTCTAAGAGCTGGTTGCATGGTTAAACTGAGCAATCAGGAGAGAAAGGCCTTAATAAGAGAGGTGAAGACCCTAATGGTCACTCTGATTGAGCTTCAGAGATCCTGTGTGAAGATGGGACAGAGGGTTTCAGTGACAACCATCATTGGAACCCTCCACCGATCTGGGCTTTATGGCAGAGTGTATAAACAGAACCTTCTCAGTGCAAAATGCATAAAAGCCTGCTTGGAATTTGCAAAATAGCATCTGAAGTACTTTCAGACTCTGAAGAACAAGATTATCTGGTCTGGTCTGATGAAACCAAGATTGAACCGTTTGGCCTCAATTCTAAATGTTCTGGAGGAAACCAGGCACTATTCATTACTGCTCAATATCATCCCAAATCCCTTGCCCAATATCACCCCAACAGTGATCATGTTGTGGGGGTGTTTTTCAGCAGCAGGGATTGGGAGATTGGTCAGGGTTGAGGGAAAGCTGAATGGAGCAAAGTACAGGGATATCTTCAATGAAAACCTGTTCCATAGTGTTCAGGACCTCAGTTTGGGCAATTCACTTTCCAACATGACAACAATCTTAAGAATAGAGACAAGACAACACAGAAGTGGTTTAGGGACAACTTAGAATGCCCTAGAGTGGTCCAGCCAGAGCCCTGACTTGAACCCTATTGAACATCTGTGGAGGGATCTGAAAATGGCTGTCCACCAATAATCGCCATCCTGACTGAGTGTGGGAGGATTTGCAAAGCATGACAGAAAATCTCCCAATCCAGGTGTGCAGAGCTCACCACATCATATCTAAAAAGATTTGAGACTGTAATTGCTGTCAAAAGTACTTCAATAAAAAATTTAGTGAAGAGTCTGAATACTAACACCTATGTGATATTTCAGGATTTTTTTCTTTTTTATTAAATTACAGACATTTGTAAAATTGTGTAGATTAATGAGAAGAAATTAATTTTAATAGCAGCATAACAAAATGGACAAATGTAAGGGGAACTAAATGTTTTCTGAAAGCACTGTATGTATTTAACACTTACAGATCTTAGTCCTTTAGTTTTTTGCTTTCTTCTTGGTTGTGTAATCTGAAAACATTCACTGTACATGCAGGATTTGTCTATTATTGAAAATCTGATTAATAGGTATTTTTCAGCTTATATGAAATACCAAACAATACAGAAAGAATTGTTTAGTCTGAAAGCTAAGGTTTTATGTTGTTCTATTCACGCTGATAAATTTCTTCTAGTGAATTTTGAAATTCATTCAAATAAGTTATTTCTTGGCTTTTTAAGGCATCTACATTTCAGATGGCAATCCTGCTGCAGTATAACACAGAAGACGCCTACACAGTCCAGCAACTGACTGACAGTACTCAAATAAAAATGGTAAGGTTCATTTAATGTTATTATAGTTTTAATTATTGAGGAGTCTTTATTGTTCCACTTGCTACGTCCATTTATTTCTTCTTTAAGTCTAGAATTGTAATGAGCACAAAACTTATCACTTTTCAATTTTTTCAACAACTTTATTACATTTTTTAAAAATACAGAAGGAAAAAGGAAATGAAAGGGGAAAAAAGTTTTAAAAATGAGGAAAAAAGAAAGGCAGAGTAATAAAAAATATATAAAAAAGAGACTTCCAATTTTCCTCAATACAGATATAAAAACTGTAGTATCAAATAATTTTTATTCTGTTAAACTTAACTAATATTAACTCTAACAGTGCAGTATTTCTCTTATCTTAAACAAATTTAGATAACTAATCATTAATTCAAAGATACTTATCCATCATTATCAACCAAGATTTAAAAAAATAATATCCAGTTTAAAAATGACCTGAAAAAAATCTTAAAATAACCAAAGTAGTCTGTTCCAATACCTCAATTCATTTTTTGCAATCCACCCTTTTGTTACTAACTTTTATCTCTGTGCACTGTTGCCTCACTAATGTAATCTTAAAAAATAATAATAAAGTTCCGTATTTCTTCCAGTTTTTTCATCCACTATAACAATAAATTTGCTTTCAAATTTATATGTGAAACAAATTTTGGGCCTTTATAATTGAATATTAGTTTTAAAACATTAATTATGACTAACATTTAGAAACATTTACTATAAATAAAGGTGTTCAGGTAGATATCTAGTGACAGTAGAATAGAATTTTAGTATGTTTCATAAAATCCCTGATTTTTTTTTCTCAAGTCTAGAAAATTTTAAATATCATATAGCACAATTTCATTTCTCTTAATATTACATTCAACCAATCAAAGTTTTTTTCTGTTTAAAAGCAGTTTGTTCACATGGTCTTATAAATTGTAAATGCTTTAAACTAAATTCACTGGTTGCATATGTTCTTCACTATCATCTATAAAACCTATTAGAGAATTTAGGCATTGATTAACTTTTTTTTTTTTAACCTTTCTGATTTTTAGGATATTTTGGCACAAGTACTCCAGATTTTGTTAAAGTCAAAATTGTTGGTAAGTGTTTTTATTTTGGGAGAGTGGTGAAATAATTTGTTAATATGTTCTGACATTGCTCTTTGTGATTTTTCATAGGTTTTAGAAGATGAAAATGCAAATGTTGATGAAGTGGAATTGAAACTGGATACTTTAATAAAATTGTACCTTGGCTATAAAAAGTAAGAATGATAGTTGAATAAAACTACCTAGTCAGAATTGTTTTTCTTAGGATAGTGGATTAAATATGTGAAAAGGTTTTTATTTATTAATAATTGCAGTAGCATGTTTGCATTTCTGTCAGAATACTGTTCCAACCAAAACCTCACAATTCTATATCAGTTTCATTCACTTCAAATGACTAGAATACACACAAACACAGACACAAATAGTAGAATAGAGTAGAATATATATAGAATATATAATGTATGGATTAGCGAAATGGATTTCTCGGCCACATACTGAAATTTGAAGGCAGAATAGGACCTGTATGAGATAAATTTGAAATATCCATTGGATTGTTCAAAGCTTCAAGAGGAAAATCAGTTCATGGTAATTGCTTTATATGAATAAAGATTGCAAAAATTTGAATGACATGCAAGAAAATGTCATTAAATCATTGAAATTCTTCACAAACCTTTTTGCTTAATATACTTAGATGGATAGAGAAATGCCAGAGTAAGATGCAGGTTTCAGAAAAAAATAAAGAGGCAAGAGATCAGTCATATAACAGAAGAGATATAAATGAGGAGAGAAGCTACCGTATTTTTAGGACTATAAGATGTACCGGAGTATAAGACACACCAAGATTTTGAAGAGGTAATTTTTTTTAAAAAAGTGTTTGCCCTCCCTGGCCCCCAAGACACTTCCCAAACTCTCTGCACGCCCCATTTTTTGTGAAGGCAAAAAATGTGACATGGGAAGGGTGAGGGTTGGGAGGCAAAAAACGGGCCCGTTTTCTCCAAAAACTGGGCCTGCTGAGGGTATGGGAGGCCTATAGAGTGGTCCTGGGGGCTGGGGAGGGCAAAAAATGAGCACAAAACAGACACTTTTTCATGAAAACGGCCCCATCTTTTGCAAAAAAACAGGGTGTGCAGAGAGTTTGGAAGGTCTGCAGAGTGCTCCTGGAAGCTTAGAAGGGCAAAAACAACCCATTTTTTGTGAAAACGGGCCCATTTTCGTTCGCTTTCCCCCTCCCCAGCCCCCAGGAACAATTTGTAGGCCTCCCAAAGCCACTGCGTGTCCATTTTTGTGAAAAACGGGGTGCGCGGGTCAGGATTTTGGGAGGCCAAAAATGCTGTATTTAGTGTATAAGACTCACCCAGATTTTCACCCCTTTTGTGGGGGAGGAAGGTGCGACTTATACACCAAAGAATATGGTATATACCTTTTCTGTTTTGAAAATAGCAAAATAACACTGAATGTAGTAATTTCATTTATACACTAAATATAAGAGTAGCAGGATTAAAAAACATTACTGGAAGTCAAAACACTAAACTTAACCTAACTTGTATATATTAATACAAAACAGTTCTTGTCAGCCAAAAATAAAGGAGACACTAGAAATTATCACAGTAAAAGTGGGAAAATGTGGAATACTATTAAATATGAACCTGCAAACTTAATAAAGTAACTTCTGAGAACCAAGAAGTCATGCTTTTTGTTTCTTCATAAATGAAGATGGATAATGTACTTAAGAAATAAATATCTGTCTCTATAAAAGTTAATTAGACAGGAAAGTGATCACAAGTTGGAATAAAATTTTGAAGGATAAGGTCACTTTTATGACAAAAATCACAATAATTAAAATATTTGCACAGAAATGAGTGATAATCTATGGTTGTGGAAGCTTAGAACCAAGAAAAAAGATGGATGCCTTTTAATTAGTCTGGACATAGGCTCTAAGTTAGAGTTAAGGACAATTGAATAGACCAAACTAACACAGATGAATAGAATAAATGTAATTGTAATTAAAAATGTAACTTTTTGAAACCTACATCGGCAGTGTTTTTAAATTATTCAGTGGTTATGAATATTTTTAATCTATATATAATTAGCATTATTTAAAATAATTTAATTTACTAGATTTTTCGGAGTATAAGGCATACCTTTTTTCCTCAAAAAAAGAGGCTGAAAATCTGGGTGCGTCTTATATATTGAATACAGCATTTTTTGACTCCCGAAGCTCCCCACCTTCACCAAAATGGCTGTGCATACCCTTATGGAGGTTTTCAGAGAGCTCCTGGGGGCTAGGGAGGGCAGAAATGAGCAAAAAACGGCCCGTTTTCTGCCCCACCCAGCCCCCAGCAGCACTCTATAAGCTTCCATAAGCTATGCATGCAGTTTTTTTTTCCACAAAAAATGGGCCTGTAGTTGCAAAAAACGGGCTATTTTTTTCTCATTTTTGCCCCCACCCAAGAAGCACTCTGCAAGCCCCCCTCCCCCCCCCGACTATTCATGCCTCTTTTGGAAAAAAATTGGCTCATTTTTGTGAAAATCAGGCCTTTTTTGCTCGTTTTTTGGCCCCACCCTACCCCCGAGGAGCACTCTGCAAGGCCCCCAAGCCTATTCATGCCTTTAAGAAAAACGGGCCGTCTTTGGGAGGTTCTCTATTTCTCTCTCTCTATCCCTTTATCTACCTACCTAACTACTCTCTCTCTTTCCCTACTATCTACCATATTTCTTTTTCTATATCTATATATAATTTCTCTTTCTCTATTCCTCTACCTACTTACCTACACACTCTTTCTCTCCGTACCTACCTACTGTATTTCTATCTATCTCTATTTCTCCCTTTATCTACCTACTACCTACACTCTCTCTATTTCTCTCTCCCTATTTTCTCTATTCCTTTATCCACCTACCTACTGTATTTCTCTCTCTTTCTCTCCCTGTCTATCCCTCTACCTACCTATCTACTTTTTAAAAAAATTGCCTCCTCAAAACCTTAGTGCGTCTTATATTCCAGTACATATTATATTCTGAAAAATGCGGTACTATAAAGATTGCTATCATACATATACTTGTGGAAATGTTTGTTTCAGTTGAATTTGGTCATAATGTAGGCAGCACAAAGCAATTGAGATACTATCTTCAAAGCTCATTGATTAGTATGCTTGTGTTGTGTTTAAGTGCTTAGGAGAGAAGGAGAGTTTAAACAATGGATAGGTCACAGTCCAATTTTAAGATATCCTGTTTGCAAACATTAATTTTAAGTCTTCTGGGAAATAAGAAAAGATATAACTATGGATTACCTAATGCAGTATTCAACAGAAAAAAGATTCCTGCCTTTGTTAGATTAATTCTGTTGCCTTTCATAACATGTTTCATCCTAAGGTTTCTATAGATCTTCATTTCTGTTTTGTAGAGCTAATTATTTACCTAAATTTTCTTGGCAGCAAAAAATTACGCGTTAATATAAATGTGCCAATGAAGACTGAACAGAAGCAGGAACAAGAAACAACACACAAAAATATAGAGGAAGATAGGAAACTCCTGATCCAGGTACTCGGGAATTTTCTGTGGCTAACAGTTTATTTAATAGTGCTGTTAAATAGAAATTTTTCCACAATAGTAAAGCTGTTAGTAACTTTTTATTGCTAGCAGTGTGGTAAATTCCCATTGAAATCTTCACTTCCCAGTCATATACTAAATATGCTGTATCTACAGGTTTGTTTTCTTGGAAAGAATTTAATCTCTTCATAAAAATAATTGACTATGGTTCCACCACAATACCGCGAAGCCCTTATCCGCGGAGACATAAGCGCGAGTGCTAATCCGCGCCGTCCGAATCGCTAAAGCAAATGCGACCTTACCGCGCTGACATAAGGGCGAGGGCAAATCCGCACCTTCCGAAGCAGCCTAACCCTAAAGCAAACCCCTAAACCTAATCCTAACCCTTACCTTAATTTAAATCGGCTTTCTGCCGCCGCGCTGTTTTAAAGCGCCCTTCTGTCGCCGCGCTGTTGTGGCGGTGATGACGTGCGGTGATGACGTCGCCGCTTTAGCAACGCGGTTTTATCACCGCTATTTTGACGAGCGCGGTTTTGTCGTGCCACGATTGACTATACATATGGTATTTGGATTATCATGGTCTACTTAGGCTAGTTCTTGAGATCCTCTTGTTTTCCTCATATATGCTGTCTAAGATATGCTCATTGAACAGCCACTTTTTCGGCATGTTCAATCTTACAACAGCACTGAGTGAGTGTACTTGAGACTCACAGCATCCTCATTGTCATATAATCACCATTTGTAATTACCACTCCTACATGCAAAGTCAATGGCAACCACTTGGTGTTATTTTTAAGGAGTCACTTAAATGATGTCAATTGTACTTGATGGAATTTGCATCACTAACTAGCATGGCCACATGACATTACACTTTACTGATGGAAATTCTGGTCCAAAATATCACTATTGGCTATCAGTACATTTGATTAACTATATTGATAGTATTCTTAGTATCTTACAAATAAGTTTTATTCTGTGTTGCTCTCCATCTGGGCAGGTCCAGCCAAGTTGTCTAGTGGAGTTTTACCTTGTTGTCTTAAGTTGTTTGAGTTTAAATTTTGAGGAAGTGCGCAGTGCTTGAGTCTGAGTTTTGAGGAAGTGCTAGTTTGGGGGTATCTCGTGTCACTGGGTGGCTATCTGTCTGTTAAATTAACATCTATCATGGTTGGTTAAGATTGCCCAGGAAATGACCTGAGAGTTGGTTGAAGTGACAATAAGTTCAACCTGGAGTGATAGGGGTTCTCTTCTGTCTTGAAGGAGGCAGTGGTGCTTTCTTCCTCAGCACCAATCATTACACTTTTCAACTGCTTTCCAATAGTCATGAAAGACTTATAGAGAAGGTGTTGCAGCTTCAGAATGGAATGTCTTGAAAGAAAAAATGTTTCTTCCTGACTTATTAAGGCTGTGTGGGAGGGGTTGTGACCTTGAGTCTGGGTTGTAGTTAATTCATCCTTGAAAGGAGGAGTGGCTCTGCTAACTCTAAAAGAGGCAAGGGTACACCCCTTCTCAAAAGATCATTGTTCAACTCAACCAAGTTTTCATTCAATTTCCAATGTTCCCTTAGAGAACATTATGGAAAGAAGGCCGCAGGGCAACTCCAGAGGACCTGGATGAAGTGGATTATCTAGCTCTCCTCCAGTAAGGGTTAAGGCCAGGGTTTGAGATTGAAACAGTATTGATCATGGATAACTTCTGGCATGGATAAAGTGGTACAACACTCCTGACTTTCTTGATCTCTCAGTGGAATTAAAGAAAAAAACAAAAAACCAACCCTGGTGGTCATGATACCCTTCTGGGCCAGCTAATATTGATGGGAACAGAAAGATCAGATCTTGTTTCTCTCTCCTCTCTTATTTAACATCTACATGAGGCCATTAGTTTAGGTTATCCATTTGTTTAGAGTGAGATATCAATGTGTAGATAGCACTCAGCTGCATATCTCTAGTCAAACGTGTAGTCCTCAATGGAACTGCATCTACATGGAGGGAGGTATGCAGGGTTATACCCCAAGGCTCTGTTTTAGGCCCAGTACTCTTCAACATCTTCATCAATTATTTGGATGAGGAGATAAATGGGGAACTTATCAAAGTTGCAGATGACACCAAGCTGGCAGGAAGAGCCAACACTCTGGAATATAGGCTTAAGATACAGAAGGATCTCACAAACTTGAACATTGGGTACTATCGAACAAAATAAAATGCAATGGTGAAAAAAGTAAGGTTCTACATTTAGGCAAGAAAAATAAAACACACAGGTACAGTGTAGGTGGCACCTTGCTCAACAGTAGTAACTGTGAAAGGGGTCTTGAAATCCTAGTGGACAACCATTTAAATATCAGCCAGCAGTGTGCAGCAGCTGCCAAAAAAGCCAACACAGTTCTAAGCTACATAAACAGAGGGATAGAATCAAGATCACGTGAAATGTTAATACCACTTTATAATGCCTTGGGAAGGCCACACTTGGAATACTGCATTCTGTTTTGGTCGTCATGTTGCAAAAAAGTTGTGGAGACTCTAGAAAGAGTGCAGAGAAGAGCAACAAAGATGATTAGGGGACTGGAGGCTAAAACATATGAAAAACAGTTGCAAGAACTGAGTATGTCTAGTTTAATGAAAAGAAGGAATAGGGGAGACCTGATAGCAGTGTTCCAATAGGGATTGCCACAAAGAAGAGGGAGTCAAGCTGTTCTCCAAAACACCTGAAGGTAGAACAAGAAGCAATGGGTGGAAACTAATCAAGGAGAGAAGCAACTTAGAACTGAGGATACATTTCCTGACAATTAGTATAATTAATCAGTGGAACAACTTGCCTCCAGAAGTTGTGAATGCTTCAACACTGGAGGTTTTTAAGAAGAGATTGGACAACCATTTGTCTGAAATGGTATAAGGTTTTCTGCCTAGGCAGGGGGTTGGACTAGAAGACCTCCAAGGTCCCTTATTCTAGTCTAGTCTAGTTAATCCCCTTTAAGTGATGCTATGGATGTCCTATTTAATTGAGCTGAACTGATTGGTGATGCATTTCTGCGTGCAATTCCAGATGCTGGTTATCTTTACAACATTAGATGGCTTGAGACCAGGTTACTGGTGTGACCTTTTTCCAAGAGTCTCTACCTGTGCAATTTGATCCAGCAGATTGGATTGTAGCCTCTGCCTTGTAGAATATTTGCCCCACAGAGATTAAATTGGCTCCAACCCTACTGTCCTTTCACAGTTTTCGTTAAAAACTTAGAAATGTGCTGCAACTGAGTAATAATCCTCATTGCTCTTTATATTTAACTTCTGGATACTTTTTAATGTTTTTAATTGTTTTATAATTTTAGGATTGTAAACAACTCAGAGTTATTTAGTTGAATTGAACAGCAATAGCCGTGATGGCGAACAGCTATAGCCTCTCTGCAGGCACACGAGCCATCACTCAGCATCACGCATGTGCACCAGTGGTGGGTTATAGGCGGTACACCCCAGTACGGGCACCGGTACAGTGCTCCGGAGGGCTCACCCGCCTGCCATCCGTACCTATATTTGAGCTCTTAAGCGCACATGCACAGAGCGTACAACGCCTGCGCGACGCTCCAGCGAGCAGCTGGAGCGTCACAGAGAGTTGCAGGAGGTAAGGACGCATGCCCATGCTGCGTGCACACTGTGCGCGTTCATGTGGTGGCCACCGGGCCCCGTTGTACTGTACTAGTTGCAATGGCATCCAGAACCCACCGCTGATGCGTGCGTGCCAACTGATTTTCGGATGTCTGCCACACATGTGGGAGATGCGCACATGCACAGAGGGTAGAGGGAGCATGGCACGCCCCCCTGCATCCCCTCATTTGGGTTGAGGCTTCAAGGAGGTCTGCTAGGCCCAAAATGCACACACATACCCTGCGGCCTGTTTTTAGTCCCAGGAAGCCTCAGGGAAGCTGGCTAGGCATGCAGGGGGGGGGGGGTTGCATGCATACACAGTAGGAGCATGGATGGGTCACACACATGCAGGGGGAAAGATGGTGTGTGGGGGTTGTGCGTGCATGCGCATGGGGGCGGAGTACATTGCATTATGAATGTGTGCACACATGATTTTGGTATGCAAGGAGAAAAAGGTTAGCCATCATCAAGCTATAGAAATAGGGCAAACAAATGAATGAATAATTAATCTGTCCGATTTTCAATCACACTTCAAACCTGGGTATAATGCAGAAATTAAAGTGATCATGCTTGTAGACAATATTTGATAGGACCAGGAAATAGTGTAATTTTTGTCCTGCTTGATTTCTCTTGATGACAATTGATCATATCCTCCTTCAGTGGACATTGTTGCACTGATACTCCTCCTTTCTCTGAGATCATTTTCTGTTGATGCATTTCAGATTAAGCTTGATATACCTTTCTAGGGTTTTGACACTTCCTGCTCTTCTTTAATGAGGCCATAGAATAGGATCATTGCTGGTAAGAATAATGCTAATCAGTTTAATATTGTAACCCCTGACTGACCAAATGAAGCTTAAAGGTTATTAAGATCTGGATGGATTGGAAAAGCCTTATAGTCAATCTTAGTATGCTGAAGGGTTGTGTTTGTGCATGTTCTGTTTCTGGGAACCTTTCAACTGTATTTTTTTGATTGAGTTACATTTCCTCAGATGGATGCATAATCTAGGGACCCTCCTAGACTTACACTTCTTGCTTGAGCAGTTGGCAGCAATGACCAGAAAGGCTTTTGCACAGTTCTATCCTGTATTTACCATTTATTGAGGGGCCCTACTCACAAATGCCCCAATCTGCTTTTGTTTGAACTGAGTTTAATATATTTAAATTATTTTATGAGGTTTTGCTTCTTGTGTTTCTGAGGTTCCTTTCGCTGATTCTTTAAGAAGGATTATTAAGAATAAAGCAAACAACCAGTTTTGAACCTCTTTTTATCTCTTCATCCTTGGATATTTATAAAAAATGGGGGGGGGAATACAGTAACACAATTTAAAACCATTTGCACCATTTAAAAATTTATTTCAATTTTATTTTTCTGACCCAAAGCAGCACCTAATTAATTTGACATTTGTGTAATTCATTTGCATGTATATTCCGATCAAAGTTGTTATTCTCTGCTGTTCCTGGCAGAAAAAATAACAATTTTCTCTACATTCCTTAGTTAGTATATTTGAGTCAGAGACAAACTATTATATCTATGTAGAATGTATTTAAAAGTGTCAAGATTTAAGCTAGCATAGCTTATTTTTGTTATGAAATAGTCAGTCAAATGACTTTCTAGCATTCATCCATCTTTGAAATAACAATCACCTCTGTACACTTTTGATGATTATTAGCCTTTGGTAATATTTGTTGATCAAGGATTGGGCCTTAACTCTAAATTTTGTGTATGTTAGGCTGCTATTGTGAGGATTATGAAGATGAGAAAAGTCCTTAAGCATCAGCAGTTGCTTGGAGAAGTGCTTACCCAGCTGTCATCAAGATTCAAACCACGAGTCCCAGTAATAAAGGTTTGTCTAAAGCAGTGGTCTTCAATCTTTTGGCTCTAGAGACTGGCAGAGGCAGCAGGATGGGACAGGATAGTTTTATGTGCGCCACTTCCACAAATGCAGCTTCCTGTGTGTTCATCTATCACTTCCCAATCCTGATTCTGAACTGGGCTGTGGCCCCTGATGCAAAGAATTACCGTATTTTTCGGAGTATAAGACGCACCTCCCCCCCAAAAGTGGGTGAAAATTTGGGTGCGTCTTATACACTGAATGTAGCCCCCTCCACCCACCAGCCCCAACCTTTTGACCTCTGTCTCTGAGCAATTTACCTCCTTGCAGCAAACGGGCTTGCAGAAGCTATAATAATCCCTGCATCTTGAAGCAGCTGATGATCAGGAGAAATTGAAAGTGAAACTTGCTGTTTGCTCCATGTGGCAAATTGCTGGGAGGCAGAGGCAGATTTAGATTTTTTTCTTGTGCTAATCAAGCTGTTTGCCACAAGGAGGTAAGTCAATAACTATAAAGGCCTATAGAATGTTCAAATTATTAGACTTATTTTTTAAAGACTGCTTTATTATTGTTCTAGACAGCTTAATAAATTGAAGAAGTTTTTTAAAATAAATGCTTACTCTGAAGAGGCCCAGTACTATTGTATCCTCTTTTAAATAGCATAGAATAATTATACTTCAGAAAGTATATCAATTTTAACAATATCTGTACAAGTATAGTCTGAAATGTAACACTACAAACAGTGTATATTGTCTGTGCTGTTTGTTGCAAGGAGACAAATTGGTGGGAGGCAGAAGCAGATATTTTCCTCTTGTTTTCCTTCCCAAAAGCTAGGTGCATCTTATACTTCAGAGTGTCTTATACTCCAAAAAATATCGTATCTAGAAGGCAGAAGTCTTCGCTTGGCAAACATTGATATACTCATTTGCATGAAGATTGTTTAACAGGAAAACTTTTCTTTTAGCATATTGGAAAATATGTGATATTGCACTAAATTAAGCTATTAGAAGAAAGTTACAAGTTAAGAAAAATTTAAGTAACTTCAATTACATGTTTATGTTTAAATCTTATTGTTTAGAATAGTAGTTACTGTTTTATAATCAAACTCAACTTTTTAGTCATGTTTGTACTTCAATTCCCCTGAAACCCCTCTACCATTCTTATTAGATGATAAACTGAATTCTTTATTTTGTAGATGCAATATATGCACTTTTTAAATTTTTTGCTTTATTTTGATACTAGCAGATAATGGTTCCCTCTTAATACTAACGGTAACTAGCAGTTACCATTTCTTTTGCCCTTTCAGTTTTTTTTAATGTCAAGTAAAGAAAGGTTTTATTGTTTGTTTCAGTATGTCTTCACTAGTTAAATAATTGTTAAAGCTTGTTAAACACAGAGTCACAGGATAAAAGTGGTTAAAACATCTCAGAATAATTGTTTTTCTTTCTATTTTCAGAAGTGCATTGATATTCTAATAGAGAAGGAATACTTGGAGCGGGTGGATGGTGAAAAGGATACCTACAGTTATTTGGCTTAACAATTTATAGCAGCTTTCAATGTCACTCTTAAATTGTAACAAGTTTGAAAGAGAATAAAACTTGTTTGTCTGCTGCTGTCTGGATTTCCATTTTTATAACTAAGACCAGAACTACCACCTGCCAGTCCTAGAATTACATCAGACCTGCTCAGGATTGATACATTTCAAGTTTGTAAATATGGACACCAATGCCATTTAATCTAATTTAAGAACAGAATGGAATCTAAAACCTCCACTGGAGGTTGCATGCTACTGCATTTAAATCAATACATTGGCTATACAAAGAAGAGCTGTTTCCCCAGACAGCACTTATACACGTTGGCAGCACTTTTGAGAAAATCTGATTTGGGCACATGTGTAATCTGCTATGAAAAATCATTTGTATAGTGTGTTTCATTTTTTAATGTGCGATAAATAAAACATTAAAAATTTCTGTACAAGTTGCATTTGGTTTATTGTTAAGTTACATGACTTTATCTTTCTTAAATGTAAATAAAAGGAGCAATGAATATGAAAGCCACATCATCTGGGTAGTGTTTTGCTTTCAGTATTATTATTTCTAGTGCCACCAAGTAAAACTTCACAAAGCTCAAATCACCCTTGATCCATTTTCTTTGAAATAGAGGGAAGGAAAAATTAAGTACAGGTAATCCTCAATTTACAATCATAATTGAGCCAAACATTTCGGTTGCTAAATGGGACATTTGGTAAGTTATTATTGCCCAATTTTGCAATCCTTGTCACAGTTATTAACACAGGTATTAAGTAAATCTGGCTTCCCTACTGACTTTTTTGTTAGGTTAAAAAAGATGATCATAACACCCTGGTAAACTAACCATTATAAATATGAGCCTGTTGTCAAGTTTCTGAATTTTGATAATGTGACCATGGGGATGTTGCAAAGATTGTAAGTATAAAAATAAGTGTTTTTTTTTTTTAGTGCTGTTATAACTTCGAACGGCCACTAAATGAATTATTGTAAGTTGAGAACTATTTGAATTCCAAATGTAAGAATACTTCATCTAAATTTTATTGCTAAATAGTACTCTTAGTGACAGAAAATTATGTTATGTGTACTCATATTTAATATCTAAAATAGTGGGAATATTGGCACAATCTGCAGGCTTATTCACTAGGGATTCTTTTCTTATGTAATATATCCACATTTCAATACTATTACGATAGAGCTGCTGTTATTAATTATAAGGATTTTTTTCTACAGCTTATTGAAGAGTGAGGGGAGAGCAGAAGCAATCATGGTGAACACACATGGTATATTTTTAGACATTTTTATAGTTCACTATAAAAAGGTGAATAATAGGACAAAGTAAATAACAAGTTTAATTTAACAACTTGTACTCTTGATGTAAAAAAAATTAGCATATAATGGTTAAGATGCTGAACTAAAAGCAGGTTCTACCATGTTTTCCCGAAAATAAGACCGACTGAAAATAAGTCCTATTCTGGCTTTTGGGAGGTGGGTCTAATATATACCCTACCCCAAAAATAAGCCCTAGTGAAGGGGGTGGGGGTGGCCAGCACAGGAGGCAGCCTTTCCCTGGACACATCATGGCTGCTGGGCCCCTTAACCACGGCCTGCATATCAGCTGATCCAGCAGGGGTTGGGAGTTCTGTCTCTCGGGCTGCCAGGAGATATATCCAGCACATTCTTGCCAGGCAACCTTGAAGCCAAAAGTCCTTCTGTTCCCCGACTCACCTTGTGCCTATGGAGCAAACGGCAAGCACAGTTTGTGCTCAACTAGGCCTGGAGCTCTGGTGTTGCTTAGGTTGCTGCTACGATAAGGCTGTTCTGACCAGGGCTTCCTGAGAAAGCATAAATCGCAATCTTAGTCCCAAAAACCCTCTTATTTAAACAGCTTGAATTATGGTCATTCAGAGCCCATAATGATTCACAGTCTGTAAAGAGTCCGACATGTCTGCTTGCCTTTATCTCCCTTGAAACGCTGCCAGAGACCTAATTGCCAATTAGTTTTGCAAGGCCAAACATAGCAGTCAAACAAGACTTCTCAGAGCTTGAACCAACTAGATGAACTAATTGCTTCCTGCAAAGGGTCACCTCTGTTTTCCCTTTTTTTATGTCTTATGAGAAAGGCCAATCATTTCCAAGCCTTCCATACCCAAGTCACCCTTTTTGCCTTAACTGTTCTTGCCTTCTGGCAGCTCTGCGCATGCGCACACTGGGAACAGGCTTACACTGTTCTTCTGCCTCACTGATGTCATACTCCAGAGGCTTTGGAGGCAGCATATATCTACCAGATGGCCCTGGTCCCCTCTCTGCCTCTGACGCAGAGCCCTCATTCGAGCCTTCCCCAGACTCCAGAACTTGCCCAAGTTCCTCCCCAACCTCCTCACTCTCCAACTCTGCTGCCAGCTCTGCAGGCCGCCAGCAGACCACAACAGAGGCAGAAAGCCATGCGATCATTCAGAATTAGCTCTTTCACCCCGCCTCTACCTTTCTGCTGCTTGAGAAAAGGACAAGCAATTATGGAAGATTGTGGGAAGCACGTGCTTATGATAGAAGCAAAGCCCATCTTGTCCCTTTCAAGCGATCAAATCAGAGGTGGTATTCAGCAGGTTCTGACCAGTTTTGCAGAACTGGTAGAAATTTTGAATAGTTTGGAGAACCAGTAAATACCACTTCTGCCTGCCCCTGCCCCCTTCTCCATGGTATCAACGGGAGAGTTCAGGATGGGTTATTCTAGCCTGCTAGCTTGTTGACTGAATTGAAAGTCTGACTACATGCTTCCTTGGTAACGGTCAGTCTTTCAATTCAGTCTCAGCTCGTAGGGCTGTTTTTCTTGAGCTATCAACTCAGACTTTGAAAGATTTTTCAGTTTCTGCTATAAACAATTTTTGGACTACAGGAAGAACTGTCATCACGCTGTGAGTTAGTGCCATAAGCACCGCTGTGGGACTCCATTAGCCCAAATTATAGCTTTTGCGGGCCTTGGTGCTCCCAACTTTTGCCTCATGGATGATTAATGGAGGTTTAAGCTGACTTCTAACTGCTCAGGAAAGACCGAGCACCTTAATAACCTAGTGCAGGGTCTTTTGGATTGCAGTGCGGCTGCACTTGGACTATTTAGAGCCAATTTCAGCGAAGGGACAGCCTTTGCTGTTTTCACATTGATTATTCTCGCCACCTTTCAAATTGACAGCAGCGGCAGAGGTTTCAGAGCTTGCCAAGCCCCTTTTGACTGCCCTGGCTGGACGTTTAAAATAGCAGATGTGGGGCGTAAAGGGAGTCTTCAGGTATTAAGCCGTGACATTGGGCGCTGAGGGCTCCATTAACTTGCACAGCCCAAATGGTTTTTCCTGCTTCTTTTTTGGTGCACACACAGTTGCCTCAGGTTTCTAATTAAAGTGGTGGCCATTTTGTTTGCTCCAGCAGCTATTTTAACTGCTCAGGTGGCCATTTTGTTGCCCTCTGGCTGCTTGATTGCATCGGCTGAACAAGACGTTTTTGAATTATATTGGTGCCATTCTACTGTTACCCAATTATCGGACTCTAAATTCGCCACAGGGATCGAGTCATTTCAGCCTAACCCATGGGCTTGCTGTCGGCTTACAGGGATTCAGGTCATCTCGGCCTAACTTGTATGGTGAATTGCCTTGGTATGATTAAAGTGCCTACAACTGCCTCAAATCTGCAGAATCACTGATATTCATTAGGGCTATTCCAACTGCCAAAAGATTTTTGCAGAGGGCTTGACAATTGACTACAGCACTTACCTTCCTCCTCTGATAGTTGGTGCTGCTATGGATGAGAACAGTGCTGCTTCAGGCCGAGCCCAGACTAATTCTTCACCGCTGGAGTCTAAATCTCATATCAAAGGGCTTAATAAGCCTAGATCTGCTAGCCTGGCAGCAGCAGCCAAAATTAAGGCCAAGGCTAGGGCTCAGAAGAGGGTTTCTAGGAGAAGGAAGCCAAAACAGAGCCAAAAAGCCTTAGACAGAGAAATTGCAAAGGCCAGTAAACAATCTGGTAGTGGTAAGTGTACTAAAATGAAGACATCAGAGGCTTCTCTAATAGGTGTTGGTACAGACAAGCCTGGTCCTTCCAAACAAATAGAATTACATCCTCTACCTAGAGCATGGTCATCTGAGGCTCTTAGTGAGCAAGGGGAGAACATCGACCTGACTAGACTATCTGGTCCTTCTATTGTTTAAGGCCATCACAGACCACCTTCCTTTCCACTAAGGTGGGGACCTGTCCAGTGGACATGGCAGAGCAGGAGATGCCTACCTATTTTAGGAAGTGGATCTCCCAGGCAATTAGGCAGGAGATGGCCGTATTTCAACAAATTCAAGTGTATGGGATTCACACTAGTACTCTGCAATTGGACACTTGGCACCATGGGAAGGGGGAATCCCAGAAGTGATCAAGGGACTTGGATTGAGCTATCATCTCCTGGTCCTTTGGCTCGAAGTCCATCTCCCTTATCTGAAGGAGAAATCCCAGGGGAAGATGAGTTTTCTGAGGGAGAAGGTGAACAACTGGACTTGCCAAATTTTAAGGCCCTATTTAACCCATTTCTTTTTAAGTCCCTGCTTTCCAAGGCCAAGACAATAGTCCGCCTAGGAAAGGACTCAGCTGTTCCAGATTCCACCCAAGGTTTGGTGGCAGAGGATGACTATTCCCATTCCTGGGATGTTCCTGGATGTAATTAAGAGGCAGTGGACTGCTCCAGCTACTCTTTCTAAGCCAAGTACTTTTGAAAACACTCTGTATGCTGTTGACTCTGACCTTTTGACCCTAGTGCAGGTTCCCAAGGTGGATGCTCTGGTAGCTGCGTTGACTTCAACCTCAGTGATGCCACCTGATGCTGAGGATGCCTTGAAGGCTGAGGGAAGATGTCTCTGCGCAGAGCCATCAGGCTAATTCCTGGGCCATTTGGGCCACAACTGCTACTTCCTTTTTTACAAGGGCATCTTTATATTGGCTTCGGCACCTGCAAGACAGAATTCCAGCAGATGATATCCGTGCACATCAGGACATCTTGAAGATCATGGCTGCAGCAGAGTTCACAGCTGATGTGTCACTGAATATAGCTAGGTTTGAGGTTCAAACTATGGCTGCGAATGTTACGGCCCGTCGTATGCTCTGGTTGCATCATTGGCACATTGACACTAAGCATAAGTGGAAGCTGACTTCTTTTCCACTTGAGAGGGAACAGCTTTTTTGGGATTCCTTGGCACCTTTTCTTATTGAGACCAAGGGCAAGAGGAAGGCGGATTTTCTTCCTTCACTGTACTTTAGACAGCATCCCATTCATCAGGGCAAGGTGGGTCTAATTTTATCCGCCAGCAGTGGCCATTTCTTGGGGGCTCCAATTATCAATATGATAGATACCAATCAGAACTGGGGCCAGAGGTAGACAGCAAACTCAGAGCAAGCAACCATTTCGTGGTGGGAGCAATAAGCCCTATCATCATTAGAAATGACTTGAGGGCATCACTGCCTATAGGGGGTCAGCTGGCATTCTTCTCCGACAGATGGGAAGAAATCACAACCAATACCTGGGTACTGGAAACAATATGATCAGGGCTCTCCCTGAAATTTCGTTGCCCCTCTCCAAGATTCTTCCTCTGCTGCCCCATGTCCAGAGACCCAGAAAAAAGGGGTCCTATGGATGTGGCAATCCAACATTTGTTGGACATTCGGGCCATACAGCCAGTTCCACTGGAATTGTAGGGACAGGGATTCTATTCAATGCTTTTTGTGTTCCCAAAGGCTTCATATGGTTGGAGGGCAATTCTCAATTTATGGAGTCTGAACAGGCATCTTGTTTACGGAAAGTTTAAGATGCATTCCCTTCAGTCTATTCTGGTGGGAATCTGGCACGGGGACCTTTTTACTTCAGTGGATATGATGGAGGCTTACCTCCATATCCCTATCCATCCAAATCACAGACAGTACCTGAGATTTGGACTTGTGTCAGCCTGAAACAACATTCACCAAAGTTCTAACACCACTGATTGCTTATCTTCAGACATTGCCCAAATCCAGTGTTATCTAGATGATTTTACTGATTCAAGTCTTGTCACACAGACAGGTGGAAAGGATTAGGGTTCATACTACCATTCAGGTTCTAAGAGACTATGGGTTTTCTGTGAATCTGGACAAATGTCATCTAGTCCCCTCTAGGGGGCTGGTGCACTTAAGGGCACTTATAGACACTCTTACTGGGCATGTCTTTCTTTCCCAGGAGCGGCAGAACAGCATCAGGGTGATGACAGCCCAGATTCGGATGGACAAGGTGGTTCCGTTGGCGCTGCTGTCTCAGCTGCTGGGTAAACAAGTATCTTGCATCTCCCTGGTGCCCTAGGCACGATTCCACACCAGACCACTACAGTGATTCATGCTGCCCTACCAGAAAGTGCATCGCAGTATGTCTCGAGTGAAAGTGCAGGTGCCACCAAAGGTTTTACACTTGCTGCACTATGGGGGTCCAGAGCTATAACTAAGGACTGTGTTTTTAGGGAGATGGACAGGTTTACCATCACAACAGATGGCAGTCTACTTGGCTGGGGGGGGTGGGCATTTCAGAGACAGGGTAGCTCAGGATCAGTGGACTCCTCAGGAGTTAACTCCCAATATAATCTGGTTGGAACTGAAGGCGGCTCGCCTAGCTCTCAGGGCTTTTCACCAACACATCTCGGGGGGGCCATGTCCTTATTTTAACAGCCAATGTGGCCACAAAGACCCACATCAATTGGCAGGGGGGGAACTCCCTTGGAGTCCCTCAAGACAGAAGCAGAGACATTGTGTCGGTGGGCAGAAGCTCACCTGCTGTTGATCAGGGCAGAACATATCGCAGGGGTGTCCAATGTGCAAACGAACTGATTGAGCAAGGCCACAGTCGACCATGCAGAGTAGCGTTTGCATCCCAGTCTCTTTGCAAAACTGTCCAGCTGCTTCAATCATCCTGTCCTGGATCTATTTGCCTCTCCAACGAACTCTCACCTTCCAAGGTTTTTCTCCAGGTTTCCAGCCCCGGGAGTGGAAGGAGTAGATGCTCTGTGATGTCCGTGGCCCAGGGGGCTGCTATACGTCTTTTCCCCAATGCCTCTAATCCCAGCTGTAGTGAGATGTTGTTGGAGAGGGCAGAAGTTCTGTTGGTGGCTCCCAATTGGCCCAGGCGATTGTGGTTCGCTGATCTGGTTGGGCTTTCAGTGGCCAGACCGTGGATCATTCCCCCAGAGATCTTTCTAAGTCAGGGGCCCATCCAACACCAGAGCCCCTTTGGTTACGCTTGACCATTTGGTGGTTGAGCGGAATCTTCTGAAAACAGAAAGATTGTCTAACAAGATCATTAGGACCATTCAGGCGGCCAGACGGCCTTCCACCATTCTCATTTATAATGCAACCTGGAAGGTATTCAGTACCTGGTGTCAGAGGGGCACGTAGATCCTACTTTGGCCTCTGTGGTGGATGTACTGGAATTCCTGCAGAAAGGTTTAGAAAAAGGACTTTCTTCAAACACACTCTGATGACAGGCCTTAGCCTTGGCTTGTTATTGGTATAGGGGGGTTTAGTTCTGTAGCTTACCATCCTAGGGTTAGACTTTTCTCAGGGGTGTCTAGGAGGCTAGAATAACCCATCCTGAACTCTCCCATCGATCATCATGAGAAAGGACGTTCACAGGTAAGACCAATGCCCGATCTATTCTCTAGTCCTAATCCCAGCTGATCGGGATGGACTGGAGATTTTTTACTATCCTTCCCCTGGAGTGTGGTGGGAATGGAGACTTTACAGTATCCTTTCCCTATCACGCCCACCAAGCCATGCTCACCAAGCCACACCCACCACGCCATGCCCATAGAACCAGTAGTAAAAAAAATTGAATCCCACGACTAGATCAAATGTGTGTGAGAGAAAGAAATGATGGAGGAGAATAACAAGAATTGCAAGCAAGTTTTCCTCTCCACCATTTCTTTTCTGCTCCACCAACTTGCCTGCCCACCACACCTGGGCCTGCTGAGCACCGTCCATCCCAAACTAAGCGGTGGGGAAGCTTCTTCTAGAACCTACTGCCCTGGCAAAGATGAAGCTGAAGCAGGTGGGGGGTCGTCCGATGGCATCCCTACCTCCACCCCACTCAAGAATGTCCCATACATGAGGTGTGAGTAGTGGTTGAGTTTGGCATTTCAACTTCCTGCCTTTTGCAAACTTCTGGCTGCATGCAACGAAAGCAGAGGTCTTGCTTTCTCTCCCTCAAATTCTGCCAGAAATGAATCTTTGAGAGACTTGTCACGGCGCCACAGTCTCTGGAGCAGGACCCCGCAAGGCTTGTGCCATTGTGCCCGTCAATGGCAGCACCGCCACAAGATTTGACAAAGCAGCGCAGCCGCGAATGGCAGATTGCCAGCTGCGCCAATATGATGAAGCTCATGGTGGTGCTGCCATTCATGCGCAACAGCTTAACAAACCTCGCATAGCAAGGTTTGAGATTCAGGGTTGAGATTCAGTATAATGAACCTTCCAGCAGTGCTGCTGTTCATGCACACAATGGCACAACAAGCCTTACAGGGTCCTGCTGCAAGAGGCGTCGTTGTAATGAGTCTCACAAAGACTCATTTCTGGCGGAGTTTGGGGGAAAGAAAGAAAGGCCAGGGTCTCTTCTGCTTTTGGCTGCACACAAGGAAAACAGCAGAAATCTTTCTCTTCCCCAAATTCTGCCAGAAATGAGTCTTTGTGAGACTCGTCATGCCGCCACAGCCTCTTGGAGCAGTATGCTGCAAGGCTTGTTGTGCCCCTGAGCAGTGGCACTGCCGCAAGGTTCAACATACCGGCACAACCACGTAATACCCGTTCTTATTTTCAGGAAAACACAGTAATTTTCTGCAAGGCATAGAAGCCAGATAGCTAAACTTGGATCAACAGCCCTTTCTCAGCCCAAATCAAGTATGTGAGGCTCTGTGCTAAACTAGATGTAAAAACAAATCCTTTGTCACGTCATGTGTTAAGATTCCCTGTAAAGATTTGATGAGCATGCAAACTAATTTGGACAAACATTAAAACTGCCCTTGTGATAAGATGATCTTTATGGTATCAATAAAGTATTATTTTTTTCACATGTATTTTTGATTCAAGTTTTGTTAAAATTATTTATAGCAGATTTCTCATGTAAAAAATACACTTTCAAATATTTTTACATTTATACATTCAGTCAAGCCTTTATTTAAAGATGGCAACATACAATATGAATTCAAAGTTCAAGTATCCTTTATTCAAGGTTCAAAAAGTGTACCACACTGCATTATTGCAAAAGATCAATGGTACAAAACTTGATGCAGCTGGTGAAAAGGCATTAAAAAGTTGATTTTAAAATGTCAATATAAATTACAGGTACAGTACTTTGCAAATTTTGCATTCCAAATTGCATCAATTCAATTTTTAAAAATAAAATTGCCCATAGTAGAAACTCCTGAAGATAAGGCAGCTGTTTTATAGGCGAGGTAGTTGGTATCAAGGGATTTCCATTTCTCTTTCAATGCCTACATACTTGAGGGCATCAGCCTGACTATATCTAGAACAAAAAGAAAAATAATTTGCATTTGTTTTTAAAGCAAAATGCCCCAAGAATACTATGTGTGTGTATATGTATATATTAAAAGTTTTATCAAAAACATTTAACAGTAATAATAGTGTAAATTAAATTAAAAGAAAATGAGAAAAATAAAGAATAATCTAAAAAGCTTTGAAAAGCTACATTTAAAAAGAAAAGTGGGGGGGGATATAAAGTAATGGCTTCCAATCTTCTTTACAACAGTTAAGAAGTACAATTATAATTTTAACTTTTCTCTAAGTTGGCATCATGACTCTATAATCTATTCTGGCAAATCAAAACCATAAATCATTAGTTCATTTTTTTTATTTTTTACATTAAGGATTTTCAGTTACCCCAAGGATGTATAAAAAGCACACCATAGAAATGAAATTAATTATCCCTACATCAAATAATTTATGAAGCTTACAATTAATATTTCTGACTATACATATTTTTGTAATTGTTTATTGATAAAAGCTAGTAAAAGTATTCTCATAATTTACATACTGAAATGTATTATTTCCCTGATTTAGGTTTTACCATTATTATCCCTACCTGTAATCAAAAAAGAGCTCTTCACCAGTCTGAATGGCTCTCTTAGCAAATATGCCTATTCTATGATCTCCATTAACCATCATAACTGTAAAAGAAAAAGTGAAGTTAAGGAAAGGTTTTACAAAAATCTTCTGTTTAAAAAGTATGATATACTCCTGTAACAATATTCACCTTTTGCATAGCAGTTGGGATTGACTGAATGGTTTGCAAATCTTATTTTGTTACCCTTCCGTGTTGCATCAACCACAAAATCTAAATTAAAAACAACAGATAAATTCACAGCTGCCTGAAAAGTAGGAAATATAGTAATATTCTTAGAAAAAAATGATTCATTCTGCAAGTATAGCTTTGTTTATGTCACTTGAATTATTATGCTATAATTACTGATTTCGCTTATAAACTTTCCCTGCATCATAACTCATGATGTATATTTTTATCTGTATTTATCAGGTATTATACATAATATTTAAATACTTTCTATAAAATATTCTGGGTATTTTCATGAAACAACACTTTTCTGGTTTTCATGAAGTGCCATTTTTGCGGCTCACATCTATAAATTAGTCTACTTTTTACTATTGTTTAACATTAAAATATTTTCTTCCATTGTTAAGAACATTAAACATTTCAAACTTAAAATCTTAGCAATTCTGATTAGATAACTGGAAGCAACATTAGTATTGTGGCCAATATTTCAGTTAAGAAATATGAATAAAGGAGAAGGTTAAAGACAGCAATATACATACCGTTATTCAAATTGAATAGAAAGCTGCACATGTATTTATCATACACTTTCCCTCTTCTGTCTGCTTCATCCTGAGAAATAATCTGAAAATAATATTAAGATGGTTTTGGTAACAAGCAGAATCTCTTTTGACATAATGGATATTTTAACAAAGTGATAGAGCCATACGTTCCGTATTATTCAAAACCTGCTCTGAGCTTTCTTCTTTCCTTTCCCAAGCAAAAACTTAGGCAACTGTTGATAGTGCTCCTGATTTATCTGATCAATGATAATGGAAAACACACCCCTACAATCTCTAAAAATTGCTTGACCCTGGAAAGATGGTACCAGAGTTTGAAAACTATTGTTGGTGTTTTTAATCCATCTTTCAGACCCTACTTTTTGTAATGCCTTGCCTTAGACAAAATGTACGAGCTTTTTATATACAATATAAATTTTATTCTCAGTTGAATATCAAATTTACAAACAGCATTTTTTGTATCTTAAGCTGCTCCTTTAAATTTTGAGAACATGTTGTCCTTATACTTTTCAAAAGGTTTACTTGAATATGCCAAGCTACAAAATACTAATTTACTAGCAAACAAACTGGTGAAGCTGTTCCTGCATCAAGTCCTTCCTGCATTTTAATATTCTTCCCTTACAAATTTATTTTATTTGTTGTTTCCCTGGCTCTCAAAATGGTGGCCTGGAATTACCTCACAATTTTTTTATGTCAATGAAAATTCTTCGCAATCTTGCAAAGAAAGATGAAACTGCACTTCACAGTGCAACATGCCACAAGTTATCTGTAGATTAGAAAGTGGATCATGTCATACTGTTTTCCTGCCTAGTGACTGAATAAAGAAGTTTTTCTATACATTTGATCCATTGGAAAAACTGGTGGAAGAAATTAGACTCCTGGCCCAACTGATTTTCAGATGATCCTCTAAACCAGTGGTTCCCAAACTTTTTTAGCCCACTGCCCCCTTGGTGCTACAAACTGATCCTCAGTGCCCCCACAGTGGTGGAATTCAATTTTTCTTAACTACCGGTTCTGTGGGCATGGCTTGGTGGTCATGGCTGGGGGTGGGTGGGTGGGGGTGTCATGTGACTGGGCGGTTTGCATGACGGAAGGAAGATAGTAACAGTAAAATTCAAAACTGTAACAATTAATTGCACATTTATTCAAAATCCAATTTAAAAACATTAGTTAATGTTAATTCAACAAAATTGTTGAACATGATCCAGTGATACCAGGTTTTCAAAGTCTGATAGTCATTTATCAAGAAACTTAGTAAATAGTAACTTAGTAAACTCAGTAAAATTTAGTAACTACTTCACTGTTTTTAGTAGATGATAATTCCTGTGTAGATATTGAAAGAAGTAATCTCAGTAAGGTATTATCACAAAGCACAAAACTGCAACAGATATCATTAAGATATCACAAAGTTACACAAAAAGTTGTTCTTGTAAGAAACCCAAAATGGATAATAAACACTTTTGTCTTTTATCTAAAGTTTTTCATCTTTAGATCAATGCCCTTAATTATTTTTTCTCTACCTCACAAACATACACATATACCAGTGGTGGGTTTCAAAAAATTTTAGAACCTATTCTGTATGTGTGGCCTATTTTGTGGGCATGGCTTGGCGGTCTTGTGACCGGGTGGGAGTGGCCAACTTGTAAAATGTGGTGAAACTCATTTAACAATGCTCTTGTTTAGCAACCAAAATTTTGGGATCAATTGTGATTATAAGTTCTCTTTCTTTTTCTTCCTTCCTTCTTTCTTTTTTATATCTCTCTTTTCCTTTCTTTCTTTCCTTTCTTTTTCTTCCTTCTGTCCATTCTTTCTTTCTTGTGTGTGTCTCTCTTTTCTTCCTTTCTCTTCCTTCCTTCCTTCTTTCTTGTCTATCTCCCCCACTTACTTTCTCTTTCTTTCTTTCTCTCTCTTTCTCTCTTTGTCTCTCTCTTTTCTCTCCCTCTCCTCCTTCCTTCCTTTTATTCTCTCTCTCTCTCTCCCACTCTCTCACTCACACACACATACCTTCCAGTTAGCAAAAAATTCTGTTTTGCCAGCTGGGAAGCTGGCAAAGAAGCCTCATTTTCCCTGCCACCTGCAGCTCTTGGAGGAAGGATGAAGGGAAGCTAGCTCCGCACCTCATCTCTGCCTCCTTCCTTGAGAGTTGGTTTCGGGGACGGCTAGCCTCTCCGGTCACTGCACCCTTCACTCGCCTTTTACCCAGAAGATCTGCCAGTGGGGTGCCTGCCATTTCATCTCCCGAGAGAAGCTCGGGGGAGACATGCAAATGGCCACAACTTGAGGCTCCTGAGGAGGATGCTGGACACCAGGGGTGGCAGTGGTGCCCACTGCTGCTCTTCTGCTGCTCCCAGTAATGCAGGCTTCTTGGAGAGCATTATGTTGCAGGCGCACCGATTCCAGCAGCTGCATTTTCCCTTGAAATTTGCTGTCCCAGCAACCCGAAGGGGACAATCTCCCAGCGGCATCTCAGGCGCTCCCACCCTTAGCTGCAAGGAAGTGAGAACGGCTGGGTGCAGTTTGGCACCTCCCGGCTCCCCTCAGATCATCGAGGGGCCTCGTGTGCCTGCTCGCTCACATGGGCTACGTGCTTCCAGCAGAAATGGGAAGCATGGGGATTTTAATGTAGTAGGGCAGGGGAGGCTGGAGCCAAAGGTTAAATAAACAAATTTGGTTTCGTTTCCTTGCGTGGCAAGAGAGAAAGGTGCCTGAGACACTCCTGGGAGAATGTCCCCTTCAGATTACTGGAACAGCAAGTTTCAAGGCAAAACCCAGCTTCCTTGCGCGTCAAGAGAGAAAGTTGCCTGAGACGCTGCTGGGAGAATGTCCCCTTTGGGTTTTCCCCTTACCGGACCCCTTGCCTCTTAGCGCCTCCCTTGCTTCTTAGTGTCCCCCCTGCCATCCCCCTTGCCTCTTAGTGCTCCCCTAAGTCATCCCACCTCCCCCCAGGGGGCGGACCATCCACTTTGGGAAGCACTGCTCTAAACAATTGAGGATGATTAACTTGAAATTTGAATGGAGTCACTGAAGCAGTTGGTGTGATCTTAAATGGACTCTGGGTGATGATAGAGGACAGGAAGCCCTGGAGGAACATTGTCCATGAGGTTACAATGGGTCAGACACGACTTTGCAACTAACACAACGACTTGAAATTTGAGTGATGGGGAGGAATCCTATCAAAATCAAAAGGAACGAATCCTACTTCTGTAAAATCTGTACATAAGCTTATAGAGAGACATAATTTTTGTGCAGAAGGGTGTCAACAAAACTATTTTTATAATCACTTGAATACTGAGAATGAGGAAAAATAGCTATCTCCCTCTGTGTGTCTATTTGTGTCATCCTTATGGGGCTATTTTTGTGTTTCTCAGAGGAAAAAAACAGATTTGAAATATTCCCAAGCTTTCATTCCTAAAACTATCAATTATTAGCAACATCCTTTCAAATTACTATACCTCTATCACTTCTAAACCTAGGGATATTTAGATATTGTATATTAGAATGCAGGATATTTTTTCTTAAAATATCATCCAATTCCCCTTCTCATCATGTATACAACATTCTTCAAAATTCTAATACAAACCAAGCAACATATGCTCTTTCATATGAATGTTTATAGATCTATCATCTCTCCCACATTACTTATTTATAAAAACATAAAACTGAAAAAGATGTAGTTATTTGGAAGAATTCCCAATAATTTGGATGTAAAATGCTAACTATGCAAAACAGTTGTTCTTACCTCTCCACAATATTCAGAGATAAATTCATTTTTCTGCACTGGATCCTTAATGAAAATCCCCCAGCCTGCCACATCAGAAGGTGCTAGCAGCAGATGCTACAGAATGAAAAAGCAAGTGCCTTAAACAAGCCAATAAAACTAAAAAGATACTTAATTCTAACAAAATACATAGTATGCAATATTAAAAGGGACAAAAAACAAGCAATGTAGTTAACTAATAATAAATGATTTTGTTTTAGTGCTTATTCATATATAGTGAAGTTCTGACAGGCAGACTCATAGGCATTAACAGAAAATACAGTTTTGAAACACAAAATGATTTTCCATTGAAACTTTGCATCATCATGAATGCGGGTATTTCAAAACTGCAAAGGCATCAATGAGGCAGCTATGTCTCAGTTAAAATTATATCTCATATAGGAGCAGCATTTCACTCAAAGTTTATTTGTATTGTGTCACTGCTACTGTATTATCTACAAGGGAATTCTATAAAGGTCGAAAAAAGAACAATATAGCACTAATTTTCATAGAGCTGTGCCGTTAAAAGCAAGCTTTAGTTAAGACATAAAAACTAATCTCTGGCAGTCCTATAAAATTCCACTGTGTTATTAGAAATATAACAAAAATGAATATATTGTGTATTAGCGTAATTTCCTATTTTTACACAAGCTTAACACGATGAAACCTTCAGAATAAACTGCTATTACAGAACCTTCTGCTTTCCACCACTGAATTTATTTTGTGTTGGTTAATTTCTTTTAAAATGAAAGTAGCAGCTTCAAATGTGCATATCTTTTATCTGTGAAGATAATGCTGTATGTTTACTAAACAACAAATTATATTGGGTAGTCTACCATAAGAGTATTATGTTTATGTGCCAATCCTATTGTATATTTGGTGGTTTCTATGTTAGAACAGTGTTCCAGATGGCTGATCACACAAACTACAATATACAAGCATTTGATAACTGAACTTCCAATAGTGTATGTAAACTGTGCATTGAGAATATACAATTTCTGCATATCACATTCTGTAGCTGCAAACATGAAGTAATAAAACTAGAATGGTTTACAATCCTAACAAAAAACACACTTAAATGACTCTCCAACAAACTAAGTAATATAAATTAGGGAGCAGGTTATGTAAAAACCATCTTCCACTTTCTTGAAGAAGAATGCTCCATGCTCTATACATTTTGCAGAGATCTCTATCATGAATAAAGATAAAATGTGTCATCTGTTCATAAAAAGTTGAACCACCTTTTTGGACCCTCGTTGAATGCTGCAATTCTTGCAAGACACGTTTTTACTATCCCAATGATCAGCTGCTCCACATGTCAAACAGAGATCTGGATCACACTCACGTACAGCTAAGTAGCAAGGACACTGCTTTGTATTGCATTGTGCTTTACAACGGCATCCAGGAAATCTATTTTGGCCTTTAAAAAGAAAAATGAAAACTGAATCAATTTATTTAACTCCTATTAGAAACTGCTATATTGCATTTTTTGCCTCCCAAAGCCCCGCCCCCTTCACCAAAATGGCCATGCATAGCCTTATGGAGGCTTTCAGAGGGCTCCTGGGGGCTGGGGAGGGCAAAAATGACCAAAAAAACGGCCCGTTTCCCTCCCCAGCCCCCACCAGCACTCTATAAGCCTCCATAAGGCTATACCTGCAATTGTTTTGACTAAAAATGGGCCTGTTTTCATTTTTGGCCCCCCACCCCCTAGGAGCACTCTGCAAGCCCCCCCAAGCTTATTCATGGCTTTAAAGAGGGGGGGCATTTTCACAAAAAACGGGCCATTTTTGGGAGATTTGCAGAGTGCAAAAACTTTTTTTTTCCTTTTGGAAAGCTCTTTTTTTTAAAAAAAATAGTCTTTATTGGTTATACATATAGTATTTCGTGGCCTCAATACAGGACCACCAAATATGGAAAGGTGCCATCCCTTCTTCCACATTTCCAACACAGTGGGGATAACCCAGGAAACATTTTGGCTAACTTCGTTGGGGGAAAGTGCCATCTATAAACCATCTTGTATATATTTTCTTTAAACATTATAGATACCGTAAGTTTAATAGTCTTACTCCATAGATCCCACCATTTACCCATTTCAATCTCATAGCCAAAATTTCTCTCCCATGCTATTAGAAGGCTTTTATCCATCTTTTCTTTAACTTCTTGACAGGTCAAAAACTGATAGATCTTCGACAACATTTTCTTATCTCCGCCAAACAAAATCTTATCCAACTCCTGAAGGTTTGGGGAGATCTCAAACCGTTCCTTATCGCTTTTAAACCTATTTCTAATCTGTAAATATTCCCACCATTCCAGATTCCTGCACTGCTGCTCTAATTCCATCTTTGTTTTCGTGTTGCCATCTTCTATGATGTCTTTATATATTATGTTTCTTGTCCAATTAAATATACTGGGATGCGTTAAGGCTGCCAACGGTGCCAACCAACATGGAACCCTAAGATAGTACTTTTTCCTCATCTTTTTCCACACCCCCATCAAAATCTTCCGAATATGTCCCTTGAAGTACCTATGGGGGGTATCTCTTTCTTGCCAGAGGGAGGCGTGCCATCCCTGTGGGAGGTCATATCCCTCTATAGCCAATAAGCGCCTTCTTCTCAACGTCACCCAATCCTTCACCCATGTCATAATTGCTACACTATAATACGCTTCCCAGTTGGGTACTCCGAAGCCTCCCAGTTCTTTACGTTTTTGCAACATTTGGGCTTTAATTCGTGCTTTCTTGCCTTGCCATATAAAGTGAGCCACTATTATTTCCAAGGATTTAAAAAACATTTTGCCCAATTTGGTCGGTGCCGTTTGAAACAAAAACAGAAATTTCGGTAGTACATGTGTCTTAACTGTTGCAATCCTGCCCATCAAAGACAGTTGTTTACCACTCCAATTAGTCATATCCTTAGATACCTGTTGTAATAGTTTCATATAATTATCTATTTTGATAGAGGAACATCTCTCCCTAAGCCAAATTCCCAAGTATTGTACTTTATGGGCCATATTAATATAAGTCATATTCTTAATTATCAGTTTTGTCTTCTGTTTATTTATACGTAACTCCGCTATCATACCGTACTCCTCTATTTTACATAAAAGCTGTATCCCAGAAGCCATAGGATCCTCTAAAATAAAAACAAGGTCGTCGGCAAAAGCCTGGACCTTAAATTCCTTAGTGGAAAGCTGTTTAACTGATTGATGAGAATTACATTGATCAAGTGTTGTGCCAGCAGAAACAAAGTCTTAGGTGCTGCAGATTGTCAGCGATTTCCTTCTCCAGCACATGGATAAATACACCTGGAAACATCTACCTACCTACTCTCTCACTCTCTCTTTCCCTATCTACCTACTGTATTTCTCTCTCTCTATCCCTCTATCTACTTACCTACCTACTTTCTCTCTCCCTACCTATCTATTGTATTTCTCTCTCTATTTCTCTATCCCTGTACTTACCTACCTACACTCTCTCTCCCCATTACCTACTATATTTCTCTCTCTCTCTACCTACCTACCTACCCTCTCTCCCTATCTATCTACTGTATTTCTCTCTCTCTCCCTCTACCTACCAACCTACCTATTCTCTCTCTACCTACCTACCTACTGCATTTCTCTCTCCCTCTCCCTCTATCTACTCTCTCACTCTCTCTTTCCCTATCTACCTACTGTATTTCTCTCTCTCTATCCCTCTATCTACTTACCTACCTACTTTCTCTCTCCCTACCTATCTATTGTATTTCTCTCTCTATTTCTCTATCCCTGTACTTACCTACCTACACTCTCTCTCCCCATTACCTACTATATTTCTCTCTCTCTCTACCTACCTACCTACCCTCTCTCCCTATCTATCTACTGTATTTCTCTCTCTCTCCCTCTACCTACCAACCTACCTATTCTCTCTCTACCTATCTACTGTATTTCTCTCTCTATTTCTCTCTCTCCCTCTACTTACCCACCTACACTCTCTCTCCCTCTACCTACTGTATTTCTCTATCTCCCTCCCTCCCTCTTTATCCCTTTATCTATCTACCTACCTAACTACTCTCTCTCTCCCTACCTAGCTACTGTATTTCTCTCTCTTTCTCTCCCTCTCTATCACTCTATCTACTTAACTACTTTTTTTTAATTTGCCTCTTCAAAATCTTGGCTTGTCTTATACTCTGGTGCGTCTTATACTCCAAAAAATACGGTATCTGGAGATTACGTATCTAAACAGTTCAGGTAGTAGCATGTACAAACACGTCAAACATTTTAGATATATTTTAATCCTCCATAAACTCTCTGTTTGTGAAAAAAACCTATATGCTGCAAAAGATCTGGAGACCTATAATAGAAAATCCTTCAGAAACATTTTCAACTTTTCAAAGTTTAAAGTTAACTTTTAAATGTAGGTGTACAGGAGATATAGGATGCAGAACAAAAAAATAGTTTGGGCCATAACAAAAATGAAATGTGATTTATATTGAATTAAAATTTTAATATATACAAGTAATATTCCTTATAATTAAAATAATCCTTTTCACCAAAATTATATCCAGCTGAGGCAATTTTTTGATGGGCTATAGAGGCCAATATAGTTTTCCTAGAGCTGGATATGGTCCAGGACCTGAAACTGTGAATCTGTCTGCTTCCATGAATGATTGCACTTTAGAATATTCTCTATAAATTTTTTTATAAATGCCTTCTCTGAAAGAATAAAAAAAATACTAGGAAAGATTCTTTTCTATGATCTTATTCATTATTGCTGATCTTCATAAAGAAATAAAAGCTTCAAAAGAACAGAATCGGGGGGGGACGGACAATTGCACTGGGAAATGTTAATGGCTGCTACGACTGACACAATAACTGCCTGTTTTAAATGAGGTTTATCTACAATTTAACTAAGAAAACAAAACATAGAATCATAGGGCTGGAAGGAACCTCAGAAGTCTTCTAGTCCAATCCCCTTTTCAAGGCCGAAACCTTATAACATGCCAGTCAAATGGTTGTCCAATCTGTTTCTGAAACAACTAACCTGTCACTGAGGTTTTTTTTTAAAAATCCAGTCTTTCAATAGGAATGACTATCTGCTCAGTTTCCTTCCTCTGACAGGCTAACCTTAATATCAAAGTTTTCAATTGCAGGGCTATTGTTTTTTGTTTTTTTTTAAACTATAACAGCTCCAAACCAGAAACAAAAGAAAAAAATCAGCTAACTAGACAGGGAATATGGAATGAAGTGGAAGAGCTTTAGCAATTTTCCCCGGATATACTTTCAATTAGGGATCATTCTGTCTTGAATCTTCTACCATTTTCTATCACTGGGAGAAAACTTCAGAACAGCACCAAAAAAGCAAATTGTAAACTCTTTTTTTCCATTTCCTGCCATCTGACCAGATTTTTTTAAAATCAAAATGAATTATTAAACTTTGTTAAGCTTTTCACAAGTATGGCTTTAAATCTTCATCAGTGAGACAACTTCTTGTTCAAATCATATTAAAATGAAATTTCCCCAATACTTACATTCTGAACTGCACTGACAGAACTTTTCACAAAAGTTCTGTGCAATGACACACGGACATGAATTGTCACAAGGCTGGCGTGGATGATCACATGGCTGGTAGTTGTAAACATGATTAGATGATCCATCTGAACAACAACAAATGTAGACATTATGAAGGACAAAAAAATTGATAAATGTTCTGAAGAATATATTTTCAGCCAAATAATTACATAAAACCCCTGCACATCCTTATACATTTTCAATAATTAGGGAAAGATAAGAGAAATAATCTAAATTCAATGCACTTAAACAGAATCTTTTAGTACTCCTATCTTTCCCTTTGTTGAGCCAAAGGAGCAATATGGAAAAGGTATTTTTGTCTCCTGATGCAAGAATGATAAAGACACACCATTACTGTTTGTCTACTATAAGATTTTTGGGAAAAGATAATGTTTCATGTTCTGGAAGTGGATGAAGCCCAAAATCTTCCCACTTCCCTGCTATATTCTTAGAACTGAGAAAATACTATACTGAGCCTAGAATCAGTATAATTTCTATTCCTCCCATGTAGTACAATCAAATCAAGGTAGCTTTCTGACTTAAACTCAACTAGAATATCCTTAGGGACAAAATGTCTCCATATACACACTGGAACCACTTTTTTATTTAAAAAATTACAGGATAATAAACAAAAACAGAATTTCAGGATATAAGTTTAAAGATGCTAACCCTTCTTTAGCTGTATCTTTCTGCAATGAGCAGCCCACAGTCTATAAAAAGAAAAACATACAATATAGTTAATAGGTTTTTTTAATATGGAAAATGGACCAAATTCAAGCTGCATTTTAAAAAATAAGATATTTTGTATCACTTTCAGAAACAAGTGTCATAATATCACCTAAGACTGCATTATTTAAAAATAATACTAATCAGTGAATTCAGTCTCTTGCAAAAATGAAGAAAATAGTGAGGGTCAGTTGGTGCAATACAGTGCAGTGCAGTGATGGAGGGTTGGATTAAATCTGTTGGAGAAGGCTGCTTTGCACCCTTGAAATCTCCAGGGTGTTTGGAGCTACCTGCAGGACAGCTGTTTTGCAGTCCACTGTGAATGCTTCCCAGGTAATTCAGCTTCATACTGCATTGGAATTTTCCCAAAGCATAGATTGGGGGGGGAGGCAAGTGGAAGAGTTGCAGTATCCCTGTGACTACTCATAGGTATAGGCATACTTCCAAGCACCTGAACTCTGCTTACATGACTGCTTGGAAGAGATGTGTGCAACAGACATAATTTCAGGCACAGATTGTATGTGCATTTGTAAATCAAGAACTACCTGTATAGGTCAAAAAGAATGGGCTGGCTCTGTGGTTTCAGATCATTCACAATATACACTGCTTGAATGGAGACAATCCTTTAACCAACAGAATACTGACTAGATAGAAATGCTTACAGCTTCATATTACTACCGGTCTACAAAAAAAAAAGATATAACCATTTTTTCATAGAAGAAAATTAGATTTTATATGGGTGGGTTCACTAAATAAAGGCAGTAAAGTATAATTGCCTTACAGATAAATGTGGAAATACTGAGGGACCCTAAATTCAAACTGCTAGTATACAGCTGTTTATGGAGTCTTCTTGTACACTGACTACACATTTTTGTGTTTTCTAATGATGAGCATTCTGGGCAAGAGGGAACATAAATGATCCAATCTTGGTAACTGGAAAATTCAGAAGTCAGCAGATGAATATCATCCCCACTATTTGTTATGGCATTATGAAGATTCCATATTCATTTCCCTTGACAATACAGTTCAGCTGATTGATGCGATTTAAAGTAATTTTCATATTTGTGGCTTTAACTATTATTTATTTTTGGTTAGCTATCTTCAATGATAGGTCAGGATACAAATTAAATAACAATTGGGATAGAAATTATCTATTATTTTACAATCACAAATGGTGAGATGATGACATAATGATTTCAACAAACAAGACACAGCTAATTTCATCCCTCTTTCTCTACACTGCCACATTTCACTGCAAATTTTGGCACTGAAATTATTTTACAAAAAATCCATTATTTATATTTGTTTTAAACTTTAAAAAATTAGTATAGGAACATTTAAAGCATTTTTAATATATCTCAAGAAGTCTTTATATTAAGGACATTTTAATGCATTTCAATTTCTATAGATTCTTCCACTATTGAAAATTTTCTGAAGCAATCCTAAAATGAACTATTAACAAAAAGTAACACTTTATACTTTTTTTATTTGTCCCATTCCTTTCATTCTTATTTTTTAAATTCTTTCCCCCCATTTTAAAATGTTGTGGGATGGTTGATATACTATTGATTTACCTGTGTTTCCTTTTTTTCTTTCTTGGAGGAGTATCAACATCTTCAGCAGGTGCTGGAGCAATAATACTAGATTCCTTTACTCTAAATTCATATACCTGTAAAATATTAATTATCTCTTAAGTTTCATTGCAATGTTTTATTGAGCTGAATTTGATATATTAATGGTTTCCACAAAATCAGATGCATTTAAATTACTAAATTTCACTAGTAGTATTTTTGAAAACATTTTCAATATTTATGCTTACCTGCCTGCATGTTTTGGTCCCAATTAACCTAGCTATTGCACAGAAATTGTCATAGTAGGTACCAATGAGAACCCTGAACATAGAAGCTTCAGCACCACTCCAGTCAACATTTTCTGGAGGCTCTATATTTGGCTTCATCTTGATTGGTGTTTGACACCTAGAATTTGCTTCTGCAATATCAAAAGCAAACAGTTTCAAATCTCAGAAATCACGGCAATGATCATACCAAAAAACAAAACAAATAATCAAGTATCCTACTTTCAGTAACATACCATTTTAAATATAACCTGGTAAGTAATGTGTGCACTTTACAGCCAGCAGGCATGACCAAAGTGAAGAGATTATGGGAACTGTAGTCCAAAACATATGGAAGACTTCAGATTACTAATTCCGATATACAGCACTGTATGATGTTATTAAACTCTACTTTCACCCCTCAAATTTCTAAAACAAATTTTTATTTTATATTTTCAATTAATGGCACATCTAGGACTTCCAGGACCTTTTAAAGAGCAGTAGGTTCACAAACGTCATTTTGTAATCACTTTCTGAAATTGTCTTATAGCTAATGGAGAATTTCAAAATGCAAAGCCGCCTGGTGAGTTTACCTTCATTCCAGAATAAAATAAAAGTTATAAGCTTGAGAATATTTTTAAAAATGGCAAAAGGCTAAATAAGATTTTATTTCAATCAAGTTATAAACAAGCTAAAGGACAAAACAAATTTGAATGTTTTGCTATAGGATTTTGGAAATACTTATATAAACAAATGACACCTTGACAGGAAATAAACTATCTTAAGTCATAACAGAAATTTGAGATTTTATTATTTTAAAACTTGAACACCAAAGGGGGGCAGATATTCCAGATATAAAGGAATGTTGAGGGAGACAGGGTATGGTATGATACTTAAAACATTCCAGGAGATATTTCAAGAATGGAGACACTATAGATAGACTATGTTCAAAAGATGTTAAAGAAGAAATAAAAAGTGTGAAAGAGAATAGTCTGAAAGATCTATAGGATAAAGAACTGAAACAAACCTCATGTGATGCAGAAATATTAGAATATAAAGAAACTGTTGAAATATACAATAAAAATGTGGGTTATAACTGGGGTACCCAAACCCCAGTCCACAGACCAGTACCGGTCTGTGATCTGTTGAGGCAGTGCAAGTGGTAGGCTAATGCTCAAAGTTTGATTTATGAATATGCAGGATCTAGGTTGTATGTGTGAAACCATTCCCTTGCCAATGCCACCAACGCTGGTTCATGAAGCTAGAAAGATTGGGGACAGATGAATTATAAAATAGAAATGATAATTAAAGTGGAAAAACAAATGATAAGAGAATGACCATGATCATGACTCCTTAGTGGATTTACAAGAAAGTTTTCTCAAGCTCAAATAGGCAAAAGAAAAACTGAAGAGAGATCAAATCCTATATCCAAAGTTGATTGAATTAAAGATCAAGACTGCTAGAACCAAAAGGATTAGGTACAAAGTGAGTTTGTTTCACAAATGTTAAAATAAGACATACTTCTATAAAATGTTAGCTACTCTTTATGGATTTTTTTGCTGATATCAGGACTGAAATATTAATGATTGATGGGTTGGTATATAGATAAGGCATGAGTTATGAGAATAGATACCTGTGTGCAATCTTACAGGGAGTGAAGAATTCTAATTTTGTTTGTACTTGAGATGAAAATCAGAGGTCACTTCATTAAATATTTCTCTTCCCTTTTTTTCTTCTTTTCTTTCTTTTCTCTTGCATTTTCTATTCTCTCCCTTCCTCCCTCTTTACTCTTCCTTTCTGAGTTTGGTTTTTATAGTCTTTTTTTAAAAAAATCAATAAAATGTTTTTAATCTATTTATGGTACAATAAGAGAAGCAATAAATACAAATGTCATCAATCATATCCTCAAAAGATAGGAAATTCTTAGGGCATAGCTGTGTCAGGTTTGACTGAATTATTCATTTACTCTTGACAGAAAGAAAACAAAAAAGCCTAATGTGGAGAAGGTGATTGTCTGAAACAGGGTATGCCAACATAGACAAACGAGCAAAATAATTTTGCTCAGTTTAGATGAATATACTTGCATCCATAAAAATATGTAAAACCAGAAAAATATATTCTGAAATTTTCATTAAATACATTCTGAATTTAATTCTTATTACCTAAAGGATTTTCAGTAATTTAAATTACTTGTGAATTCTGGAAGGTGCACAATAGATGATGACTATATTATAGAACTCAAAACATAACAGTTCAGGAAATTTTTTATAATGAAAATTTAACTTCATTATTTTCAAAAGCAGGTGGTACTTTTTTTTTCAAAAGCAGCAAGTAGTATGGCCCTACAGTAGAACAACTGAACTTTGATCCAATACTTCCAGCCCAACATAAACACTTTTAACAAATTTAGCAACATTCCACAACTATCTTACCAGAGGAGCTTGAAGTCTCATCTTTTTTCTCTTCTTCTTCTTTATCATTATTTTCACCTCCAGTCTCAGTTCCAGCTTCTCTGTCACTGTCTGTATCCTTTGATTCTAGAACATTTATGGTTGGTGTGCTGGGTCTACTGGTATTATTTGGAAGCCTTCCCCTTCGGCGACCTCCTGGACGCTTTGGTGGTGTTTTTATTCTCTCAGCAGTCAAAGCAGCAGCAAACTCTTTAGCTCCTTCCTGACAGGCACAGAAATATTTCAGGATATAGGAAAATGCATAGAGAATAGAACTTTACTAAAATGTGATTAAAAACATTGGTCTAGTATTAAAAGCAAATTTATATGATAGATCAAACTACAAGTAAGATTGCAAATCATAAAGGTAAATACGAAATTATAACTAAAACTTTAAAAACTCTGATTTATTCCTATTAATTCCCTGAAGAATTCTGTACAGTATCCAGATGATTTTTATTACCACAAAGAAAATTGGGGTTTAATATGTCATGGTGCAGATTCTATCAGCTAGGAAAACAACTCAAGAAATTTGTCTGCATGGCTAGGATGGGCATGGCTGGGTTGGGCATGGTCAGCTCCCACTGCTACTGTGTTCCCTCTCCTTGGTTAGGTTGCTCATGATGTGTGCGGAGGGCAAAGTGTGTGGGTCAGATGGAGGCCAACGGCCTCTCCTTGTGAGGTGACCCAGCTTTGTAATCAAAGCATCGTCAGCAATAGGATGGGAATCCACCAGGAAAGGTCTGGAGGATGGGACAAGGGAATGGCTAAAGGCAGCAGGACTGCTGGTGGCCAAGTGTGAAGATAGGATTTACTTCAGACCCTCACTCTCTCTCTCTCTCATTATAATCTTCCTTTTTTCCCTTTCCTTCTTTTTCCTTCCCTCTTCATTCTCCTTTCTTTCATCTTCCTTTCCCTCTTTCCTTCTTTTTCCTTCCTTGCTCTCTTCCCCTCTTTCCTTCTTTTTCTTTAACTTTTCTACCCCTTCTTGTATGCTCAAATGCAAAAGGGGAAACATTTCTTGATGCCTCTTCGCCTTGTGATCACATGCCACTTTTGTTAGTAGTTTGTGATCACTTAAAAAACTGAGAACAAACCAGGCTCAGTTTATCCCATACTTGCATTTCATGGGGGTGTCCATAGACAACAGTAAACTTTCAAAATGATGGCTCTGATAGTTAATCAGAGATCCTCTGTTTTTTATGTGCAACACTTTTAGCATTTAAAACAGAGATAAGATAGTTGCTTTTCTATTAATGCATAATCCTTAAAAGGGCTCTCCTGTAGGGACCCTGCCATGGTCTAATTCAGATTGGAAATATAGCACAGGAATCAATGCTGTCCATGGCCCAGAGTGCCAATCGCTTGTGCGCGCAGGCCTTTCTGTTTGAGTGCACCTCTCACACCCGAGTGCAACTCGCCGGAGTTCAACACACCAGAGGAAGAATAAGACCCTGTTGTCCCATGGAGCACGTATGCATGCAAATGAGGTGTCTGCATGCAAATAGGCGCTTGCAGCAATCTTTGAAGGCAAGCCTGCTGCTGCATCTCCACTTTCTTCAGCTCAGACGCAGTCGGGGCACTCAAGCTGCTGGTAATAATCCCCCCCATCCACAGTAAACCAGCATGCCTGACCTACTCCCTGCCTGGCCAGCTGACTGACACAAAGGTTCACCATTCTTCTCCTCCTCCTCCTCATTCAAGTGGTGGCGCACTTCATGGAATAGGGATTCATTCCTCCCCTGGTGGTGGTGAACTCTGGTGGACTGGACACGGGTGTGAGGGGTCTGACATTGTGGTGCTGCCTTGCTCAATTGAAAGCTTTGTTTCTGCCCACAGACAGGCTGTGGAATCAGAATTGGAGGGCACAGGAACCAACGCTGTCCATGGTCCAGGTGCGCTGCTCACTTGCATGTACCAGCTTTACTGTTTGAAGGCAGGAACAAAGCTTTCAACTGGGTGAGGAAGCAGTACGGGGCCAGGCTCCTCACATCAGGGTCCAGCCAGCCAGTGCTCGCCGCACTGTGGGAAAAATGAGACACCCTGTTGTCTCTCTCTCTGGTGAAAAAACAATTCTAGTGACCATCTCTCAAAAAACACATTGAAAGCTATGTAGCCAGTTGCCCAGTGTGTGCATCAGCCTAAAGTCGTCCAGGGAAATCCATGGGACTACTGCAAACATGAAAAATCCCCATGCCCCTTAGAAAGAGATCTCTATAGACTTTCATATTTCCTGAGAATGCTACAAACACCGTAATTTGGGTGGTTGCTGACTTGTTCTCAAAACAAGTCCACATTATTCCTTGTTCAAAGATTCCAGCAGCCCGTAGCTTAGCTGAGCTAAGCTATTTGTGCAGCATATTTACAAACTTCATAGCATTCCTGATTGAAGTATTTCGGACAGGGGGTGCAATTCACCTTGTGCTTTTGGTGTGAATTTTTGAAACTCATGGGGAACACCCAAGCCTTAAGCCCCTCCCACCACCCTAAATGAATGCAAACGAGCTAACTCAGTAGTGGAACAGTACCCCAGATGTTATATTAAATATCAATAAGATAAGTGGACTGATTTTTTACCATTTGCAGAAGTGGTATATAATAATTCAGAGCACAGCAACACTGGATATATCCCCTTCAAGATAGCTTCAGATCAGAACTTCATAGCAATTGCAGAACTACCTTTGGACGAACCCCAGAACCCCTCATTACAAGAATGGATACAACTACTACAAAATTCATGGCCAGTAGTGTGCAAAGCGCTCGAGGAAGTGCAAACCTAGACATGACAGGCTGATAAAAGATGAACCTAAGAGACAGAATATATTTCTCCACAAAGTAAATACAGTGTACCCAACAATTCAAAAAACTGGACCCTAAGTACATTGGTTCCTTCTGAATTAACAAAATTATCAACTCAGTCACGGCATAATTAGAATTGCCCAAAAACCTGTAAAGACACACACACACACATTTTCAGGAATGCTGCCAGTTTGTCACCCAAAATAAGTACATTATAGAGCTAAGACTACTTGATAACACGCAAGTTTGTTATTTAGAACAAGAAATAACTTTTCAGTAGAGATATGTAAAATATTCCGTCCATTAACAGCCTATAAATGGAACATCTGAACTTGAGTGGTCCTAACATTTCTATTTTTGGAATTTTGGTTGTATATATAAGAAAATGGGATTATTTTGTATTGAGACCCTGACAAGGATAAGGAGAATGGTAGAAAGAAAGCTTGTGGATGTTTGGAGAGATCTGGCTGCCTGGTAGGATGTCAGCAGTGGCAACCCCCCCCCCAAAAAGGGGGGGGATTATAATGGTATGTAGTAATGACTTAGGAAGATGGGGAGACGTAAAGATACTGCCTAGGGAAAAGACAGTGAAAGGGCACAATCCACAAGTGCATAATGTGGGGAGACTGGAGTAATTGGAGGAGTGGTGGTAGTGTGTAAGACAGAAATATAGAAGGAATGTATGAGACTATCCCGATGTTCCCATTTCTCAGTACATTTTATCAAAACTACTAGGGCAAATCAACTGATATGTTTCTCTTTGTTAAGACAATAACTCTTGGGATAGTAACAATAGCTGGGAAGGTAAATATCTTGAGGCTTGCTAATTATGAATATTTACACACATAATCTATTATCTATGCATTATGTATGATTATCATTTTCCTTTCCTTTCCTGAAATGTACAGATATGAGTGCATCCTTCTGACTGCAGGAATCCTTTGCATTATTTTCTGGAAGAAAATTTCTCCATTGTACACTGAATAAATAACTGCAGTGGGACTTGAATATTGGTGTTTTTTTTTGGGGGGGGGGTTTCTACGTCTAATTCCATATACACCTAATTTCATAGGTGTCAAACATGGGGTTCACAACTTCCAGGTATGAACATGGACAACAAAGGGTGAGTGTTGTAAGACTGATCCCATATCCCTTCCCACTGCCACATAAGTGCATCCCTTCTGTTCCAATTATCAGTTGTCTTGGTCCTGTTGCAAGTTCAACTGAGCAACAATCAGAGATGTCCAGAAAGCAAGGCAGAATTTGACTTTGGAAGAATGAGTGTGACCTTTCTGTATTGAGTAGAGACTGACCCTTGAGGCTCTGTTCAAACTCCCCTTTTTCCTATTTTCTCAATGAATGAAGTTCTCTAAGCTGATACTCGGGCAGGCAGGGAAGTGTATAAGGGTGCTTAGGCAGACCTGTGATTAATGAAAGAATATTTCCCAAACAGATAAATTTGTTGTGGCCCAGGGCTGGGAATGAGCCTAGAGATATATAAAATACCTGGGATGAAGGCAATTGGGAAATTGCAATCCCAAGGTGTCTTTCAGGAGACTCCATAAGCTGGTTTATGAAACATTGGACTGGGTGTGGTTAAATATATGGAGCAATGGAAATAATAAAACTCAGTGGTCATATTGGACATTGGAAAATTGACAAGTATCCTGGACACCTTTCATCAGAGGAAACATGGTTGCAGTGGAACTCCTTTTGATACAAGGCTTCTGGGGGCAGTATGAGCTCAAACTGAAAGGTTTTTTAAAAACTACACCCTTCACCACTTTCCTTGTTCTACTAGTCTCATCCTACTTTCAGAGAGATAAGGATGGTCTTGGCCTTCAGGAAGACAGTGGATAAAAATGTAGGACGTGCAACCATGCAGGGTGCTTCCCCCTATAAAGCACCGGGAAGGGTCTATTGAAGAAAGAGCTATTTTTAGCTCTGACTAAGCAGATCAAGTGTTCAAGGAGCGTATGAGCATGGGAAAGAGGGGAGCCTTAGAAGTTCACCACTTTCTAAAAAAATATTAACTGTAATGTAATGACAAGAACAACAACATGAAAAGCTACATCAACTGAAAGCAAGTAACACTACCATGGAAGCAGCTGGACTGCTGTCTTTCAAAATCATTTGATATAGTTATTTACAGAAAAAACTGGCAGATATTTTTGGATAATTATGATAAATAATATCATATTTATTGTATTTCTGGAGAAAGATTCTCAGAAGAGACCCCATCCCCAAAATTCTCAGACTATATAGAAGATAGTAAGAAATTGGTATTTTCAGACTTGTAAGACTGATGACACACACACACACAAACCCCTCAGGTAAAACAGACAGGAAATACAACCAGATAATTCTTCTGGTATGGTAATATGGTAATTCTTCTTTATTGTAAAGCTACAATAACAAGTCTGAAAGTACCTTCCAATCCCTCCTCATCTCTCAAAGTCAATCCCATTTAGCATTACAGAAAAAGAGGAAAAATTCTGGTTTGATTGTAAGGAGGAGACTAGCCAGCCAAAACATTAACCTAATTTGAAATAATTTAATTTAATATGAGCAGAATCAAAATGATAAAGTAAGAATAGTTAATATCATTTTCTGGGTACCGGTAGATCACAAATTTCTCCTCACATCAGAAATTACAATATTGACAATTTTTGGTAGCACTTTGAATACATGCTCAAGGCTTTTGGAGCCTGCATGTAATCCTGGGCCACAAATTGTACAGATATGAGTAAAAATGTATATATTATAGTGTGTTGCATATTATTTTGGCATTTAGCAAACTATCAGTCTCACTGAATACATATATCTATTTTGCTTCAGTTCAAAGAATTTTAAAAAAAAAATAAAGTTAAGGAAATAAAATAATCTTACCAGATGTTGATAACAGTGTGGCCCACAAGGTTTATTATCTATTGCAGTTTCTGTATTTTTCCGTTTGTAAGTATTAGGAGTTGCATGGAATGCTGCAGAGAATTTTGAAAGAAGTAAATAAATCTGGAAAATTTATCTAAGAGTATTTTTGTAGTATAATAATAAGGCTTCATTTATTCTTTCTCTCAGCAACAAACTTAATGTAATAAATCACCATTACTCATGATAAAGGTATTTATAAATAATACAATGAGATGACTGCAAATTTCAGGTACCTCCTGAATATTGGAATGCCTCCAGTATGACTTTATTGTTATGTAATTATATGATAATTCTGTTTAATAGTTGTATTACTCTGACCTATCTTTGCACAAATAATCCTTATATACCTTATCAGAGGATAATATTAGATGTCCACCTCTTGTATTAACTGATAAAACCATTAAAATAGTTTGGAGGTGACATTAAGATTTCAACATCAAAAATATTATCTTTCCAGATTGTCTTTTTGGAATAGTGGTATACGTTTTCAGATTTTTTCAATCCTTTCGGGAAGGAAACTTTTTTAAAAAATTGCTGGAGAACTAGTCTTTCAACTTTTTCTAAAATCTTGTAACTTGGAAATACAGTGTCATGCAGATCACTGTTTCGTTTTACTCTAGTTCCAAGTTGCTAAAGACTGTTTGGCAACTGTGATAACAGGACACAGCTAATCAGCTAGACAATGTTGATTCAGATTCAGATTCACTAATACACAATATGTAGTTGGTTAGTGTAAATTCCTAAGTCAATTTTGTTTTTATTTAAACTTCCTTAACCTGGTATTCTTCATATGTATGGTCTTTGATTCCTCACTACGCATCATTTTGCTTGCTTTTTTACTTACAAATAGCACATAAAAATAAAGCATTCTTAAATCATAGTCTGGTAAAATAACCACAATGAAACATGATTTCATATTAACTTTCCACGTAAGTATTGCATATTGAATTAAACTGGTAGCACATGCAAAAATTCCTGGTCCCAAAACCAAAGAATGGAAATTGATTTCAGGAAAGGACTAAATGATCATGCACATTTCAGTTATAGAAAAAAATAGATCATTGAAACATTACACTAATTATAATACTGTGTTTCCCCGAAAATATGACATGTCCTGAAACTAAAGCCTTGCCACATTTTTCGCGTGGGCAAAAATATAAACCCACCCCCGAAAATAAACCCCATGGACAATCCCCCACTCCGTCCAGGCAGAGCACTGCTCACCGACATAGTGGTATCCTGAAGGTGCCAAGCCGCAGGAGCCGGGGGGGAGAGAAAGGCGCTTACATTGCTTGGCGCCTTTGGGATAATGCTAGGTTGGGGAGTGGCATTCTGCCTGGCCGGAAGGGGGAGTTGCCAGGCGGCTGTTCCCTTGTGAACTGGCTCCTGAAGAGCCGGGCACAGCCTCAGGGGCGAAGCAGCCATGAGGTGACCAAGCTCATGAGCAACTGCCCAGCAACCTCCTCTCCAGCCAGGCAGAGGGCCATTCACTGACCTAGGGGGTATCCCTAAGGCGCCAAGTCACGTGGCGCTCTGCCCGCTCCCCAGCTCCCATGGCTTGGCACATTAGGGATACACCATAGGGCAGTGCATGGAGCTCTGCCCGGCTGGAGAAGGGGGTTGCGAGAGTGCTTGTTCCGCCCCAGCAGGCATGCCTCCTAGCCTCAACATATCCGGGCCCAGCTCTCCCTGCAGTCGCCGCAGCCGCCGGCACGCTCCGAGCATAACATCGTCTCTGGTTCCAAACTCCAAAACTCGGCTGCCGAGTCTTCCAGCAGTGTTATGCTCAGAGTGTGACTGCGGCGGCAGCTGCTGCAGGGAGAACTGGACCCGGACATGTTGAGGCTAGGAGGCATGCCTACTGGGGGCGGAACAGACGTTCGCGCAACCCCCTTCTCCAGCCGGGCAGAGCTCCATGCACTGACCTAGGGGGTATACCTAAAGTGCCAAGCCACGGGAGCTGGGGAGCAGGCGGAGCACCACGTGGCTTGGCGCCTTAGGGATACCCCCTAGGTCAGTGAATGGCGCTCTGCCGGCTGGAGAGGAGGTTGCCGGGCAGTTGCTCGTAAGCTTGGTCACCTCATGGCTGCTTCGTCCCTGAGGCTGTGCTCGGCTCTTCGGGAGCCAGCTCACAAGGGAGCAGCCACCCGGCAACCCCAAAACAATAAGCCCTCCCCTATAATAAACCCAAGGCCATATTTTGTAACTAAAAAGAAAATTAAGATCCAGTCGTATTTTCGGGGAAACACGATAATGTCATTCTACTTGCCATTCTACTTGCCAAAGAGTATGGAAGTAAAAAAACGCTACCTTCTTTGGACTCTCTAGTGCATATAACAGGAGTAAACCACCAGAATGTAACATTTTAATTATTTTTCCTGATAATAAAAATATTTTAAATTCCTTTTCACTTACGATGTAAAAAACAATCATATTTGAAACACCGTCTACAAAAAAGAGTATGAAAAGAGTGTAGACTTTGCTCCCTTTGAACAGATTTGGCATTTGGTCCATCTATGTTTGGTGTGCACTCAGGAGGAAGTGCTCCTGGAAGCTGCTGTTCAGTAAGTTCTTTGTATCTACAGAGAAAGTAAACATTGCTATTATTTTATGTGAGTTAAAAATGGATTTTACGGTACTTTCAAGAAATACAGAGCCTACCATCTCAATGAAATAAGTACACGACATTTAGCAAGAAGCCATATTTTAAATTTGGAAAATTAGATAAAATAAATAGCTTTTTGTAGTATACTGCAAAAGTAAACCTTCATCAATTAGTGATGTTATACAAAAAAGAAAGATGTTATCTGATAATATGTCAGCATTGGACAATAACATTTCCTATTAATAACAGTGCAGAGAACATTTATTATGTATTCCTTGGACTTACAGCCCACTAAATGCTAAAATGAGTTTCTATGGTATTTCCATTTTATACCAACAGCAATCTCATGAGATACATTAGGTTAAAAGAGAGTGCTTCTTTTTAAATTACCCAGTAAATTTGATGACTAAGATTATACTTAAAGTCTTAATCTAAAACCTTAATCACTACACTAACTGGTTCTTGATTTTATAAATATATTCAAAATGTAACCATTTTCACCAAGTCAAATAGTACGTTCTTCAAACATTTGATCAATATTAACAGACTCAGACAATTTGGAATACCAATCTAAGTCTACATTTAGCAAGCAAATTTAAACACTCTGTTTAAGCTTCTCTACATCCTACAATTTGCTATGACTATGCTACATCATCTTACTTTTCTTTCAATTCTTCTGCTGTACCCTTATCAGGAAACATTGAAGAAATGGCTTCAAATATCTTATCAGAAGGAAACTTCCGAGGTGGATGACACTCTTTCTCTATATAAAAAAAAGAAAAATCTGTAAAGTTACATCTTAAGATATTCATTTAAAAAGAAACAATTTTTTTGTTTGAATTTTAACTGCTTTTAACTTTTGCATTTGGATTTTTGTACATATGTGTGGTGCTTTAATTGTAAAGGAAAGAGGACAAAAAGGAAGGGAAAAAAGAAATTCACAGTTAAATACAATTTGAAACAAGCTCAGAAGAGACGAGAAAATTTTATTTATCCAGAAATGTGACAGTTAAGATTTTATCTCATTAAAATATTAAGTCAGATTTTTTTAAGTAATTGGAAGAGGAGACTGAAGGACTGTAGGATCTGATTATTAGAAAGCTTCTAAAAGGAAATGGAGGTCTGCTTTCAATAGTTGCAGATTGTGGTCACTATGTTGATTGACTGGACCCTGCAGAGATTATGTGAGCAGCAATGTTTTTCCAAGTTTCAGTGAACCACCGGTGTCACTAGAGTTACTGATAGGACTGGAACCAGGGGAATGGAACCCTATGTAGAACTCGATTCTTTAACTGGATTATCTGCTGCAAGAACTGATCTGCATAACAAGAATTTGTTATGACCTTGTTATGGCTGGCAAAAGAAAAGGTTACTGGGAAGAAATGGACGATGGTCATGCTACTTGATTCAACAGAATCAAGGGGGTGTCATAAATAGATGCTGACAGCATCTTCTCTACCTAGGAAAGTAGTGGTTCTTCTTCTTGGAATGAAGCTCTGATGTAGCAAATACCATTGTTACATATTTGAATGAGACAATCATAAAAAACAGTTGCATTACATTAAAAGAAATGGCCAATCCAAATGGATATGGTTCCGCTTCACAGAAAACTCAAGACTGATGAAAAAAAATTGTGAAAGTGGTAAGGTAAAGATTTTTGTTATCTGACAAGATATTTCCAAGAATAACAAGAAAAAGAAGGCATTTTTGACAAAGAGTAACAAGGGGCTTGAAAAACTATTAGTGGGATTAGAGAAAATTGTATGGAAAGCATTCAAAGATGTCATTGAGGATTTCCTTGCAACTAGAGAGCACCAAACTACATTCAACTGGTTGACAAACATCTTATAATATATAATACCATGAAATGCAACATGTCACTGAAGATTCATTTTCTGCATTCACACTTGAACTTATTCCCTGAAAATTTAGATTCAGTCAGTGATGAACATGATGAAAGGTTTCACGAGGACATTGCCACAATGGAAAAACAATACCAGGACAAGTGGAATCCATCAAAGCTGACTTATTATTGTTGGACATTGTAGCAAGATGCATCAGTCACCAAGTGACAGAAGTCCTGGTGGCGTAGTAATTAGAATGCAGTATTGCAGGCAAACTCTGCCCACAGTCTGGAGATCGTTTCTGGTAGGGGTCGAGGTTAATTCAGCTTTTCATCCTTCCACGGTCAGTAAAATGAGGACACAGGTTGTGGGGGCAATATGCTGACATTGCATACATTGCAATATGTAAATTGCCTAGAGAGTACTATAAAAATTATGGGACAATATATAAATCAAATGATCACTCCTGCAGCCTAAAGATTCTTGTTATCAATATAACATCTTCATTTAAGACCAGCATGAGATGAGTAATTTCCTATTGATAAATATATGATCCAATTTCTATAACATGGGGAGTATGTTATTACATTATTATTCAAGATGTATAGAAATAAAATTATATATTATCTTAACCAATTCCTCTAGGCTAGCTGAGAGGCACATGGATTTTTGTCTAACAATGTTAATAGCCATCATATCAAGCTTGACTAGAGGGTTAAAAGCATTAAAACTTGTTGTGCACTATTATAAAGTTCAGAAATCAAAAGTTTGCTGTTGTTTTATTTTATGGTAGTTATTCATTGAATAGCCATAGAATTTTTAGAACGTTGAATGAATTTAGTCATAGGATTAATCAAACTATAATAAATGAGAAAAATAATTTTAAAATATAATTTTTGAGTCCAATTGACCAGGTCATGTTTTAATTACTTACAAAAAAAAGCTTCATTCTCCATGGGTGAGAAATGCCCATGTCATGGATTTTCCTGAGATGTTTAGCAATTGCAGAAAATTAGCAAGTTGAAAAGATGGTTTAGGTTAGGTTTGGTTTATCTGGCTTGTATGCCACCCTACTCCCGAGAGACTCAGGGCGGCTAACAATAAGAAAGGGAAGGGGGTACAAAAATAAAAACAACAATTAAAAATTCAGCAGCATAACTTCGGATGGGGCTGGATAATTCAACAGCCCCAGGCCTGCCGGAACAGCCAGGTCTTAGTTGCTTTGCGGAAGGCCGGAAGGGTAGTAAGGGTCTGGAACTCAACGGGGAGATCGTTCCATAGGGCCGGAGCAGCCACAGAGAAGGCCCTCCCCCGGGGAGTCGCCAGCCGACATCGGCCGGCAGATGGAATTCGGAGAGGAAGAAAATTCGGCAGGACCAGCCCTAACTGACCAGA